AGGTGTTTTGATCTGGATTGATTTAATAACTAATTGAGTATGTTAAATTAGTAAGATGATGTTCTTGCCTGACAATATGGATGTTATTAGGTATGATAATTAACTGGATGAAATTTGAATTTGGTCCAAAGGGCTGAAATGATTTAAGGTTTGATATTACTTTGTTATTTTGTTATCTTAAAGAGATTTATTGATTGATGGATTATATATGTATAGGATATACTAATATTTTACTTTAATTAGGAGATATATTGTGTAGTGGAAGAAGAAATAAATGAGATTTGTGATAAAATTAAGGATTTAAGAGATTGAGATCTAGAATATATCTGGAAGGGATACCTGAATTGATAATCTGTTTCTTTAAAGTCAAATTTGATTACGGTATGTTAATTGTAAATTCACAAAACTCTAAAATAGGTTTAGGATTGTTAGAAATTTAAATTAGAAATGGATTATTTTAAATGTATTAGGTTAATTGAGGGAAATAGAGAGGGAATGTTCAATGTATTGATTTGAGTTATTCATATATGGTTTTATTTTTGCTTGTTTGATTACCCCAGCACCACGGTGTGTCTTAAGCACTTTGTTCTAAGAATCAAAAAACCAATAAAATTTGTTTTTTTTTAAAAAAAGAAAATATCTATTTAAATTTAAATTATATTTAATAATATTATGGTCAATTTTAAATTGTTTCATCAAATTAATTTTCATAAAAAATGATTGCTTCAATATAACAACAAATATAAAACAAAGTATGCAAAAAAAGGAAAAAAAGTGTTAATATTGTCTATGACCAAAAAGTAATACATCCATTTTGTCCATAAAAAACCAGTTCAAAGGTTGACAGTGCACACATTTCACTTTGGTTTTTGTTGCACAATTACCTTCCCAAGAATATGTAGCACTTTTTTTCCTCTCCAAGCATGATAGGTCCAAATGTTTTCATAATTAATACATTACAAATTTGGAGCTATATTTTAACCTTAATGTATTTAAATCTAATCTATCATAGGCTATGAAGAATATTGAAAAACCAGGAGGTATGATATGACCAAATCTCATGTATTAACATACCTTTAAATGTTTGTATCACCAGCACAGATTAATAGATAACTAATCCTTTTTAACATTCATTAGATATGAAAAAGAAATTTGTCACCAGTTTACACCATGTTAAGTCTGTAAGAAACATATTCAATATATTTTTTAAAAAAAACTAAGGCCACTAACTTGCTAGAATTGGGTTTTCAAATTCTTTCTTCCAAATTAGTCCAGTCTGGAGCATTATTTAACTTTGAGGTGACCTCAACTTTGTCTGGTCTAGTGCATGTGTGTTTTCACACTCATGTATGTGTTGGCATGCTTTTAAGTCAGTATTGACTCCTGTCAGCTACCTGGAAAAGTCCCTGCAGTTTTCTTGGCAAGGATTTTTAGAAGTGGTTTACTATTGCCTACTACCTAGGATTGAGAGTGACTGGCTCAAGGTTATCCATCTGTCTTTGTGCCTAAAGTGGGCCTAGAACTCAGGATCTCCTGGTTTCTAGTTTGGTTCCTTAACCGCTACACCAAACTGGCTCTTGAACTTCAGCTAGTCTATGACTCACAATTTTCCAAGGATATACTTTTTTCAGGTATCATGATTTGAACATGTATACAACCAGTATAAATGTTAAGTTATTGCTACATTTTCATATTTGGATGTCCCCCTTAATTTAATTCTCCATCTCAGTATCACTTTCTAAGTACTTTGTTAATTCTTATTTAAATAGAAATGTATCTTATTTTGCAGTGGCTGGAAGCTTTTGACTGCAAAATTCATAGTTCTCTTTATTTCACAATGCAATTTATCAATAATAATAAAAATATATTAGAGAAATTCTATATCCGTTTGGACATAAAGCTAACATAAAATAATACATTCTATTAAGGGAGATTGTTTACAAAGACTGCTTTTTTGAAATTTTCACCAAAATGCACATTTTAATAGCACCTTAAAAATAAACTTGTGGGATGAAATATGGGAAGAAGATTTTTTTTAATTGAAGGTGTTAAGTTATACTTTTCAAATTGTTTATACTTGTCTGGAGGGAGGGGGAAGTCACCTTTTATATATTTTCCTTTTCTTTTTTCTATCTCCTTCTACTTTTCTGCTTTTTTCTTTACTTTTTGTATTTTCCTTAGTTTGTATTAGTCTTTTATGTTTGTATTCATAAACATTAAAAAAGCTATTGCAAAAGATATTTGTGAACAAATTTTTCAATGAACTCATTTTGACAGTTTTGCAAAAAAAAGGGGAAATTAGAGTAACTGAAGAGAAGGTTATGGGTCACTTGAAAATTTATTGGTGGGAAGGAGATAATATAATCCAAAACTTTTTGGATACTTTTTAAAAAAAAAAAACACAATTTTTAAATTTAATTTAGAAGGATAAGATTCTTCATAGGACTCGTCTGTTTATATTTAAAGAGTTTGCAACCATATAGCCCTTTAATATTAATAGTGTTTGCTTATGTAGAAGTTAACAGATGAAAATATTTCAGAAAAATGTTCTGAAAGAGAGAGGAAATCCAATTGAATATACTATTAATTTGTTCTTTGAATTTTCATGTTAGACAAAAAGGGTAGGTTAGATCTTACTTATTGTTGTCGCTTTTCTAAGAATTCTGTGCCTTTCCCAAACAAAACATCCAAACATTAGTCAGGAGACAATTCTGCCATCTGCTGGGAAAGACATTCAGAACAGTGTACCAGTTTTATTAGACCTTATCAAACAAAATCCTCAGCTTAAAACTGTATTGTTTATACAGAGCAAATAGCATAAATAGATTTGATGGAAGAATGAGCTAGCAATGCTACTACTATATGCAATTCTATATTTGACATTTCTGACCTCAGAACTAAATATTATCAGTAACTAATATATGATTCTGATTACATAATTCCATTCTCATAGATTTATGAATTTATATTGAGGAAATCGTATTGGAACAAAATGTAGTTTTAAAATTGAAGGAAAAAATAACCTGCACTATGTTCGTGATACTACTGTAATGATGTGGAAGGTCAAGCAATGAAAGTGAAGGAGCACAGTGAAAAAATAGGATTAAGACTAATGTCTACAAGAAATATATTAAAGAGATAGGTAAAGCCTAGCACCTAGCTAACTTCAATCTTTTACTCTTTTACTGATAGAAAGTACTTAACTAGATGCTACAATCTGGCTATCCCTTATATTGTATTTTCTGTACATGAATATTCTGCTATAAAACTTATGCTTTCCCACAAGGGCAGCACTCATACAGAAAAAAACCGTGCATCTCCTAGATAGGACAACTAAAGCAAACAGAACTGAGTGTGCATTTTTCTTAAACAATCCAAGGAATTTTATACTCCTGATCATGATGGCTGTGGATGTGTTTTAACCCCTTTTCCCACACACAATATTTTCTTGCTAAAAATGTAGCCTAGTTGCTACTGTTAGCCCAACTGATGGATCACAAGCACAGATGGATGTGGGATAGGAAGACAATACTTATCATCCCTCCACTAGGCTCCTCTGTATCTTTGAGCACTAAAGCGATGTCCGATCTTAGCCTAAGGGACAGGTTGCAGACACAGAGGATAGACAATGATTAAGTTCCACACATTCCTTGCACCTGCCTATACTCTTAGCCTCCCTGCACCTGAGCAGTTAGTAATGCTTTTCCAGGCAGCACCTGATGCTTCACAGTTAATCCTCAGTGAAAGGGAAGCAAAGCAAAATCCCAATTGCTTTGTGTAGCATTAAAACAATAAGAAAGCATCATGTACCAGCTCTCCTAGAAGAGGCCTTAGGAAGGGTGCCAGTGCAAAGTGCTTATAGCCTGCACAAAATTTGACTAGAGGCGTTTGGTTGCATCCTTAGACTTCCTTTTCTGTTATCATTCATTTTCGATGTATTTGGTTTGCTATTTCTGGTTGTTTTTCTGTACTTCCCAATGTTTATCCCCAAAGGGAAATAACGTGATGAGTGTATGTCACAATGTTGTACGCGGCCCTGTAGAATAGTTTTTACTAGTCCAGGCAGTCACCAGAAGTCAATAACTGAATCGAATATACCCACCCACCCACCCCCATTTTTATTTCAATCATTTGTTTAGCGCGCCTTTGCTGTATCCCCAGGGGCTATTTAAGCAGTGTGATAAAGCAAAGGAAAACATTAAAAACCGAGGAAGAAAAAAAGAGCAGCCACTTTCCCTCCGGCAAGGCACTGAACTGAACAGACGAGGCGGGGGAACGACAATGCAAGTTTTTGGTTGCTTAGCAACCAAAGAGAAACAGATTCCATCTGTCCCTCCCTTCCTCGCGCTGCAATTCTTTGCACGTGGGTTCAAATAGATCGGCCTTTTTTTTTTTTTGGTCTCTGCCTCGGCGCAAACGGTGACGCAATCGGCACGCGCCTAATGTGAAAGAGGAAGGAGACGTGTGGGTCTGAGGAAGTGGGAGTTTCTCCCCTCCTGAAAATGTTACCGTGGTGGATTTGGTAGAAATTTGTCACCGGCGGTTCTTTTCCCTGCTCGGCTCAGTAGAATACGGACCCTCTTTTGACTGCATGGCTTGAAGAGCTCGCCGGTATCCGGCAGGGCTCTGCAGATTGGTAAAACCCTAAGAAACGGAGCAGGTGAATCCTCTGCCTTAGGTTGCGTTCTTTTTCTACAAAAAAAAATGGAGTTAATTAGGGTTTGGGGGAAGTCGTTCTTCCCGCTCCGCAGTTATATATGAATATGCTATTATAAAGCAGTGCTTTATAATAGAAGAATAAGGATATTGCCTTCCGGTGGCTAGTGAGATCAATATTGGCAAAATTATCTGCACTGGTGGCTAAATCTGTTCGCTGACATAGATGGTTGGGCTAAGACAGAAGTATCCTTTCGTTAATTTGGGTGTCTTTTGCATCCAATCGAGAATGTCCCTGGTGCATTTTCCAGTAGCAGCTCATTTGGAAGCTTCAATTGTGAATGAATTCCTTCTTATTGAATTAGCTGGAAAAGTTTACATTTGTAAGGAGGACATGGCCTTGCTTTTCATTTACAAAGTGTCAAGTTAAGCTTATGCTGTAGGAAAGCATATTTGCTGAGTACTTAAAAGTGTTATGTTGAAGGTTGTAATCTTCGAAATGAAAAATAGGCTATTCAATTTGAATTGTACAAAATACCCAAACTTTCTTTAGAGGAAAACAGATCAAACTCAGTACACATGTGTAGCACTTTGTTAACTGACTTGTAGCCTCCCACCCTAAAAAAAAATAAAAAAATTCTTTACAGGTTGTTCATACTCTGAACCTGCCTTCTCAGCACTTGTTGGCTGGGCTAAGACTATGGCTCCTAAAGATATAATGACTAATTCACATGCCAAGTCCATTCTTAATGCAATGAACTCTTTGCGAAAGAGTAACACACTCTGTGATGTGACCTTGCGTGTGGAACAAAAAGACTTTCCAGCTCATCGTATTGTATTAGCTGCTTGCAGTGACTACTTTTGTGCTATGTTCACAAGCGAGGTAGGTAAGATGCATATCAAACATATTTTGGGTATATATTTTTTTCAAAAATTTGCAAAAATATGTAATTCAAACGTTATCTTAGTCATGTTTTTCTAAAGCTGAATGTTGCCCAGTAAATTTAAATTGTTAGAGCAATAATTGACAAAACAATGTAATGAATAGGTAACAATGTTTCTTCTCCCTACAATTTAATTATATATGGGGATATTTCAACTTGTATAAAGGTTAATATGAAGTTCAACATTAAATCTGGTATGCAAGTTGGGCCAACATCATAAGTTTTGCACTATGATGTATCTTCTTTAGTGGCTTTTCTCCTACATGGTGATAGAGAATCGGTATTTGAAAATTTCATTTGTATCTTGTTTTTGCATAATTTCCCTCTTTGACATCTTTATATATTTTTTGTATGTATAGTATAACATATATAATCAAATAATATGAGTATTTGATCTCTTATGGCAATACATTATTTAAATCAGAGGTTCCTTAACTTACACTCTTATGTGATGCTTTGGTAACCACAATTCTAACATGTATTTGAAATAAGCAAATAATTTTAAAAAAGCATTTCTGCTATATGGTTATGAATTCTGAACATATAAGACCTCTAGAAAAAAGGTGTGTTGAAGTACTATTAAAAAAGATTGAAATGAATAAAAGTTAAATTATTTTCTCAAAAGCAAAATGTTTGTTTGATGCTATATATTAGTTTTCCAGGAATCTTATACTTCTTGAATTTTTTTTATTTGTTGTAAATTCATGCTTGTAAATTATCACTTAGTGAATTACTTTTGCCAAATGTGTCTGTAGGTGACCTGAAACAAAACTAGGAATGCTACTTCTCTAGACCATAAATAGTACAGATATTAACAATGAATATATTTTATTTAAATAAAATATATTTTGTAGACTAGTAACTTTTTTTTCAGGAGGAGGATTTTGTTGTAGTTTATATATAAAAGAGAAATTCCTCTTAATTGGTATGGTAAATGAAATACCTTAAGCTCCTTAGAAAAAGCACTATTTGTGTCTTTGTTATAGTCTTTCAAGGATACATTTATAATAATTTTTATATTACATGAAAAGTTTGAATAAGTGCTTATTTATTTCATCTTATCCATATTTATGTTTTCCAAATTAGTATTCATAACCCAGAAAAGATCATTAATATAAATCCTTGTAATTAAATATAGCTTTATTTGTAATTTTGTAGCTTTCAGAGAAAGATAAACCCTATGTGGATATCCAAGGGCTAACAGCCTCAACTATGGAAATACTGCTGGATTTTGTATATACAGAGACGGTCCATGTGACGGTAGAAAATGTTCAGGAGTTACTCCCTGCAGCCTGTTTACTTCAGCTGAAAGGTAATGCCAGAAACAAATTATATAGAGCAGGAATCAAGGATCAGATGCATTCTCTAGACATCTTCAGTCTACAAAAATGAACAGAATTTTGCAAACATACTAAAGTTAGTTAAAGATGTATTAAAATAACATATATATAGTCCTTGCTTACCAACCATTTATTCAGCAACTGCTCAAAGTTTTGATAGCATTGAATGAGTGGTACTTACAACTGATTCTAAGTTCCAGCTTCTCCATTTGCTTAGTTCTGAATGCTGAATATTTTGAATGGTCATATAATAGTTTTCAAATAATTGATGATCTGTCCTAGTACAATCAATATGTGATTTTTCATTCTAGAGGTGTTTAAAATGTCAAAAAATATGGCAGTGGAGTCTAAATTCAGACTATAAATACTGATCATAACCATATTTATATCAGTATTTTTATAAGCTGGAATTAAGTGGTATTTATGTCAAATAGAGCTTATTGAACTTATAAAAAGAAGTGTTTATGACTTATAATGGCCACCTGTTTTACCCGGATTGAAATAATACACCTCTTCAACCCAATCTCTAAGCAAAGATTAATCATCATCTTTAGATGTGTCTTCTGTAAAAAAGCAACATCAGCTTGTAAAGATATGGATTTTTTTGACTTTAGTTGAAATTCAATATAACATTACACTTGTCAACTTTCCAGTTAGGCATTGTGGTGTAACGGGCACAGGAAGACGGGGCTCTGTCTTCCACGTTTGATTTCACCCCACTGGGGACCTTAAAAAGGGTCAAAAGTCACCCCGGAAAGGCGACAAAGGAGGGGACCCTCGTCGATCGTGGAGGGGCGGTGGCCCTCCTGCTGGATCCAAGGAAGCCCTCCAAACCGGTGGGGGAAAGACTGGCTACATTCATGTGGCCAGTCAGAAGCTGCTGTCAACCGAAGATAGGCACTAACCAGCAATTTTTGAGCAATGTGAATAGAACTGGGTGAGACTTTATCCTCTTTTTATGACCTTAATACTACTCTCCTGGAAAAAAGAATGCCCAAAGCAAAGAATCCTCCCCGATGAGAGAGGGAAGGGAAGTTTTTGCCCCGTTCCCTCAAGAAAAGAAAAGCGGCGAATTAATTGCTTTGGGGGAAAATAGAGAAAACTACAAGATCAATTTGGAATTAATACAGATATATAGCTTTGAAATTTAGGGACTAAAAGTACCTTTGAGACTTTTTTTTTAGAAAAGATATTTGAAACTCTGTAAAATAGGCTTGGATTTGGAAAGTTGGAAGACGGTGTCAACGACATCTATTGGCGAATCATGGCACTACAATGTATTATGCTTAAAGGAAACTTGGCTTGAAGCCTGGACTTACATAAGACTCTTTGTTCCTGGAAACTTTCACTTTTGCAGACTGCATCTGGGAAAAGGGAAAAAAACTCTTGGGCTGCTTATCTGTGTTGGGGACCCTATTGGACTATAAAGACTACATACAAAAACAAAATGAGTGTTTCATACTTAGCCACAAAGGGTAAAAAACCATCTTTAATACTTGTCTCTGAAGCCCCCAGCTTGATTTACCAACAAAAAAATGTTAATGAATCTCAGAAAAAAATTCTTTTTATGTTGAAATCAATCCAAGAGACAATTGTTTTATTTCATGATGAGACTAAAAGTAACGCAAATGAGATAAAAGAACAATTTTCTAACCTAACAAATCCAGACAATGACTACAAAGAAGGAAAATTAGAAGAAACTGATCCAAAGATGGAGGACCTAAAGGAAGGAATTAACAGACAGAAACAGACAAATGAAAAATTAGAAGATGTAGTAATAACATCGGAAATGGAAAAGATATCTCACTTGTCAAGATTTCAGAATACATTTGAGAATAAGGAAGAAGAGCTGATCGAACGGATGATAAAGCTGTTAGGAGAAATGCTGAATACTGACAAACAAGAAATGAAAAGAAAAACTGAAGGAGAAGGATGGAGGCAGTTTAATGAATATAAATGGGTTGAGCGTTCTTCCAAAAATATTTCAATCTGTTCAATAGAAATAAATATTGCACATTTTCACTTTTAATTTAAATTTGATTCCCGGGTAATTTTTCAGAATTATGATTTGACCAAAGTGCCAACCATTATTTTATTTTCTTGTAGGAGTAAAGCAGGCTTGCTGTGAATTTCTGGAAAGCCAGTTGGATCCTTCTAACTGTTTGGGTATTCGTGATTTTGCTGAAACGCATAATTGTGTTGATTTAATGCTGGCAGCAGAGGTTTTTAGTCAGAAGCATTTTCCAGATGTAGTACAACATGAAGAGTTTATCCTCCTCAGTCAAGAAGAAGTGGAAAAACTCATCAAGTGCGATGAAATTCAGGTAAGAATTCATCTGTTACTGCAGTTTAAGGCAAATAATATTTAATTCTGACATGTGATGAATGCAAACCAATCATGTATTTTTCGAGCTGTATAAACAGGATTTTTGTATTCTTTTTACTATCACATAATCATGTATACATTTCAATGCAGTGTGATATAAGATTGTTTGCACACTAGTCATCCTTTCCTTTTTATATTAATGTATTTGTTTAATGGGAAACATGGGAGGGTCTTTTTATTATTTATTTTTATCTCACCTTTATTATTTTTATATATAACTCCAAAGTGGTGAACATACTTAATATTCCTTCCTTTTCCTATTATCCCCAACCCAAACTCACCTAATCAGCTTTCATGCCTAAGGTGGGATTAGAACTCACAGCCTCCTGGTTTCTAGCTTGATGCCTTAACCACCAGACCAAAGTGGCTAAAAGTCCTATTTGAATGCTTCAAAATAAAAAAAATGAAGAAGAATATTAGTGAAATTATTTTTATTATTTCTTCCAAGGCTGCCAATGAAAACTGCCCTCCCTTCAGAGAGGACTAAAAAAAAAGTAGAAAAAGCCCTCAATTCAGTGATCATATTAGGAACTGTGTCCTCTGCCTTTAATCATGTGACATCTTGGAATTATACATCACATGTTCACACTTTATATTTGTGACAGTCGTAAGACAAAGCTACAGATTTTCAGTGGTAGACAAATGCCCATAATATATGATTGGGTTTTTTCTAGCAATCATAATTTGCTAAGCAATTTTCCCACAGTACAGGTACAACCTTTTGCAAAAGTCTGATGAGTTTTGCTTCTTTTCTTGCAGGTCGCTTCTGAAGAGCCTGTCTTTGAAGCAGTTATTAATTGGGTGAAGCACTCAAAAAAGGAACGGGAAGCCTCTTTACCAGAGCTTTTGCAATACGTGCGCATGCCACTTCTAACTCCACGCTATATCACCGATGTCATAGATACTGAGGTTGGTCCAGGTTCTGTATTACTCATCTTTTAGAAGTGGTTAATACAATTATGGTGGGCAATTTATGCTTAGTTGTTTGCAGACATTTCATTACCCAATTTAAGTAACATCATCATTGCTAGAAAGTGGTGTTCACTCCTGCTTATTGGCTGGTGTTTTGTTTCCTCCTTTCTTTTTTGAATGGTGTATAAATGTTTATCTCTGTGTCTGTTGATGGCTGATCTGTCTGAATACCAAGCTTCCAGGAATTCCCTAGCATTTTATGGATTTTGTATTTATATTACAGCATAGCATGTAAATACAAAAGGAATTAAATTCACATCAAAATACACATGTTGTTAGGCATTCCACACACCCCATGGATTCCTGAATTTAGCACATTTTTATGGGTTCAGGTTTCAATGGATGCCACTATGTTCTAACACTGAGGGGGGGAGGGAAGCTTCTCTCCATGTTTTCCATACCATGTGCAATTTATATTGGTCAGGCATTACTTCCCTTGGGTCTATATTAAAGAAACCTCAGATACCATTTCTTTGGGAGAGTTCTTGCAGTTCCTCAGATATTTTTGATTGCTTTTTTCCCAACTTTGCAATATCATTTTTCAGGAGAACTGAAAGCAGACCAAATACAAACAAATCAGGGCTTCTTTTAAATACTCTGAGAGTAAAAGTGACTTTTCCTTATGTTTTGGGTACTGCATCTGTCCTTCAGAGGTGTCTTTCACCAAAATGATTTGATCAGGATTAGTACTTGTGAGACAGATGATTCATTAGTACGCAAGAAATAGTCTAAAACTCAGCAATTTTATAGTAGCTTAATTGTTTAGCTTTAAAACGGGTTCCTTCTGCTACCACAACCCAAATTTGTATATGTCTGTATAGGTCTAAGTATTCTTTCAAAAATACTGTTTTAATATAAATACAAATGTTTTTCTTTTTGTTGTTTTCATAAGGCAGTGTACCTCTGTGGCATTGCAAACTTGTATATATTGTAAAAATTATATAGTCTTGTTATATTTCCCCAGCCTTTTATCCGATGCAGTTTACAGTGCAGAGACCTTGTAGATGAAGCTAAAAAGTTTCATTTGAGACCTGAACTCCGGAGCCAAATGCAAGGCCCCAGAACCCGAGCACGTCTTGGTAAGTGGCAAAAGATTCAAATCAACATTTAAGAAGAAAGAAATGTCACATTCCATTCTTATGTTTATTGACTTTTGTCAATTGCCAGGTTTAGGGCTTAGTAGATTCACAGTATTATGTTAACACTGCTGCAAAAGATACTGGGCTTAAAAAGTTAAAGATTTTATATATATCTTCCCAAAGGACATGCTATATCTTATTCAGAGCTGTGTGTCTTATATGAATACAAAATGCTAAGCAAAATTAGATATTCTGTGTTTGACCTGCTACCCTCAAAGTCTAGAATTGTATTTTTCTGATTCAAATGAATTAAATAGTTATTGAAAATAAGAATCAGACTCTTTTTGGAGAGCCAGTTTGGTCTAGTGGTAAAGGCACCATGCTGGAAAGCAGGAGACCATGAGTCAAATCCCACCTTAGCCATGATGGATGACTTTGGACCACTTTTAGCACAACTCACCTCACCGGGTTGTTGTTGTGGGGAAAATTGGAGGAAGAAAGTGTGTTGGATATGTTTGCTACGTTATTTTGTAAAAAATAATAAAGGCAGGATAAAATGTTCAGTTAGCTAAAAGTTTTGAAGTGATCACTTGTTGAAATAATTTGAGTTTCAAGCAGGAGAATTCCAGTTTGCTCCATAAAAATAAAAGCAAAACATTATCTAAATAATTGTTTAGTAATCAAAATACAGGGGAAGTAATGTTTTAAGCATAATTTATGTAATTTACAAACCTTCATAGTGGTGAGATCTCCATGTACCTTCAAGCCCAAAACATAAATGTTTGAAGAAAAATGGTACAAATGAGGCTTTTGTGCTGTGTCTATCTAGTTCAGATGGATGGAGCGATGACTGGCCTTGCTATTGTTATATTTTAGATGCTGTAGATCAGCGGTCCTCAACCTTTCCGGCTCAGTGGACTGGCAGAGGTGGCAGCAGTGGGGGTGGAGAGGGGATGGTTTCGCGCACACACAGTTTTTATAAATGCAGCTGGGTGCGCACTTGCACGCGCCCATCACGGGCTGCAGCCCGGCAACGAAATACCTATTTTTGTAAACTAATCAGAAGAAATTACACTGGTTACTACTGAAATATAATGTAACCTCAAAATTATCTTTCTAATTGAAGCAATTAACTGAATTATAATAGAATGAGCTCACCAAAAGCCAGTATAGAACATAGCTAGGAAGCAAATGCACAGCTGCAGAATAAAGTCAGATTGTCAGAAAATGTCTCACAATTATGTGGCTCAGGTTAGCAAGAATAATTAGCATAATAATTTTTGAAAAGAAAGAGAAGGATAATTTGTTTCATGGCAGTTGAATTGCCTTTCAATTGTGTATTTAATGATTGCTTGATTTTTGTTACCACATTAAAGAAGGGAAAAAATCAATGATTAACATTTAAAATACAATATGCTTAACAATTCCATACAGTATATCTTTCAAGCAGAAAGTAAGGGGAGTAGTGGAAAATCTGAACAAAATTGTTCAGTGAAGTAGTACAGTTTTCTTGGTGAAGAATTTTAAGAAGATAGATTTCAGTATTAATATAAACATAGTTCATTACTCAACTACATAGTTCTTAAATAAATGTTTAGGAGTATGTGTTAATTACTTTTTGTTTGCTAATGTTTATATGCTTCCTTCTCTTCCGATTCCAGACAGCTTACAGCATACTGTATAAGATAAAATCAATCGGTAAAACCAATAAATAGTAAATAACTACTAAAAACTATAAAGCTGCCATCAAACAAGTCTATGTGGTCTCTTAGAAAACTTATTTCATCATCTCCCAAAATATAATCAGGGTAAGGTGCATCTAATCTCAGGGGGAAAAGAGATTCCAGAAGGAGTGGGCTATTACTGAGAAACTCAATCTGTAAGATCAAGCTCCCTGATTTATTTTTTCAGGGTGAGTAACTAGACCAGGATATGAATAAGGCAGAATCTACATGAAGAAGATAGTTAACAAGGTCCCAAAATATAAAGGGTTTTATTAATGATAATCAAGGACCATGTATTGGGCATAAAAGGCTGCAACTAACTAGTTCAACTAGTTACAATTGGTGCTGTTATTCTAAGCTGGCTAAATACTGGTCAGAAGCAGGCCACTGCATTCTCTATGAGTCATTTTCTTAGGTTGGACCATCTAAAGCAGGGGTAGTCAACCTTGGCTCTTTTATGACTCGTGGACTTCAATTCCCAGAATTCCTGAGCCAGCTTAGCTGGCTCAGGAATTCTGGGAGTTGAAGTCCACGAGTCATAAAAGCCAAGGTTGACTACCCCTGATCTAAAGTGAATTGCCGTAGTCTGAGAGATGACATCAGTATGAGTTTCTGTCTTCAGGTTCTGTCTCTAGGTTCAGGAAAGGGTACAACTGGTAATTCCACTAATCTGGCTAAAGGCTCTCACAATTGCAGCTTCCAACCACTGTTTTGCTGGAGCTCTAAGTTGAAGAGAAATCTCAGATTGAGCACCACTACCTTCAGTAGAAATGGTATCCCCATCAAGAAGATCCACGACACCAGAAAGTTTCTGAACTAAAAGCAACACGATCTCACTAGAATTCAGTTGCAGTCTGTTTCGCCCTATCCAGTTCCTTAGAGCAGGGGTCCCCCAGTCCATGGGCCAGCACTGGTCCATGGCATGTCAGCAACTGGGATGTGCAAACAAGCAAAGCCTCATCTGCAGGATGCAGGCAGCATGTGAAACCACACTCCCTCCGGTCCACAGAAAATACTCTCTCCACAAGAGAGTTTTTTGGTGCCCCAAAGATTGGGGGGTGCTGCCTTACAGTCTCCAGGCACTGTTCATCTAAAGTTTATGAAGTAAAGCTGGGTGTAATCAGCATATTGATGATACCTAACACCAAACCAATGGGTGACCTGTTTCAGAGGCTACATATAGATGTTGAATAAGATGGGGAAGAGAGGACGCCTCTTTTCCAGCTTCACCATTATCCATTCAGGGAGAAGCCACAATGTATAAAAGTGACTCCGATCCCCGACTCTTGCAGGTGGTTCAAAAATATATCGTGGTCAATGGTATTAAATTCCGCTGAGGGATTTGGCAGGACAAGAAGGGACACAGTACCTCTCCCCCACATCCCATTGCGAGTCATCAGTAAAAATGACCAATGTCCCAGGCCCAGGTCTGAATTCAACTAGAAAAGATGTAATGACATGCAGCAGTTCAGTTCTGAATGTAGAAGGATGCTTCAGATATGCTCTTGTAGTAAAGATAGTCCTAGAGTTATAACCACTTGTTCAATGACCATTCAGAATTTCAGAGGTGCTGAACACGGTTGCTGTTATTGCGTTTTCTCCCAAGGAGTATTCCATGCTATGGAATGCGAGATCTCAAGAATCTCGTACTTCGTAGTGTCCACACACTCCAAAGTGACCTCTGCTGGCACAATTACATTTCATAGCAATGGTCTGCCCATAGTCCCCATCTGCACTCAGTAGTGCCCATCCTCAACGGTCATCCAACTGCCTGCAACTCTGCCTTCTGGTTTGCTTCCCTAGGACTCCAGTCATGTGAGAACCTGTCTTACAACCTGTACAGTCTTTGGGTTATGACTGCAACCAGGACTGCAAGGATTGCTGTTGCTAAGCAGTGCGGTCATCTGACAACCATATTGCTTAGCAACGGAAATTCTGGTCACAATTGCCATCATAGCCTGAGGACTGCCTGTCTCAGTTGGGAAATCTGTATAGCAGCCATTCGCAGTTACAGAGACCTTTGAACTTTGCTCTTGGGTTTACTGTTCTTTTTTACAGTAAACAGATAGCAGGTCAAATTGGCTGGGTAAACAGAGTTGTAGAAGTTTATAAATTGTGGGCCAATTTCACAAGGGGGGGGGAACTACTATTGTTGAAATATATCAGTATTCAATTAGGGGAGACAATTTATGTGCATGTTTTTTATGTATTCTTTTTCCTTGTCTTGTTTAGTTTTGCTTTGTTTTGTGTGTAGGAGGGTGTTGTTGTTTTTTTTGGGGGGGGGGGAGTTTGTATTTTAACTTTGGTAATAAAAATATATATATACAAAAAAAAAGCAGCTGAGCTTTTCCTTTTGCCAGAACTGCATAGCAGCTGCAAAAGGCAATCATGTATCCTATTGTAGGAAAAGATGCTGTTCCTTTAAGCAGTTGCAGAGAGTTATCATATGATTTTGTACTCAACTGAAGTGCTGCACAGCTCTAGTATAAAATACCCTGAGAACTTTATGCTATTTTTTATTTTAGATGATTTGTCCCACCTTTATTATTTTTATAGATAACTCAAGGCAGCAAACATTTATAATACTCCTTCCTCCTCCTATTTTCTCCACAATAACAGCCACAATAACAGATTTTAGGGGACTAGTCTAAGGTCACCCAGCTGGTTTTCATACGTAAGATGGGACTAGAACTCTCAGTTTCCTAGTTTCTATGCCAGCATCTTATTTCCTTCAGGAAAAAATATTTGAATATGATAGTAAATTTGTACTTCTTTATTCAGAATATTATTGTCTTTGCATTTATCCTGCTTGGTTGCAGTGTTCACTTATTTCGTACCGCTGTAACATAGCTTGCCTATAAAGTTTTCAGCGCATAATGCAACAGTGAGGGTGGTTTTCAGCTTGCTTTTCCCTGACCTTGGTTAGGAACAAGAGTAAGTGACTAGGCCAAGTTTATCCAGGTGGTTTTGTGCCTAAGGGAAATGCTAAATCCTAAATCTTCCCACTTCTAGTATAGTTCCTTTGGTAGTATACCACACTGGCTTCCAGTTTATTTTAAAGTTATTTAAAATTTTTATTCCATTTTTATTTGTAAAGCTTACTGATGTGTAACATTATGATGGTCTCTTTCATTTAGGTGCCAATGAAGTTCTCTTAGTAATTGGGGGTTTTGGAAGTCAACAGTCTCCCATTGATGTGGTGGAGAAATATGACCCCAAAACACAAGAATGGAGCTTCCTACCAGTATGTAATTATCTGCTTCATCATATATGTTTAAAACAACAACATGCTATTTACATACATGAAACTAGGTGTCTGTTTGCATATAATTCATTAAGATTCCTAGAGCATTTTTCCTTTAAAAAAAAAAGCAAAATTTCTTTGGCATGATGATGTTTAATGCAAAGAAGCATTATGTAAAGAATTTTTTCCTTGCTCAATGCTTCTAATTTCACAGCGTTCTTTCTCTAGTTGCTTTCCACCAGTAATGTTTGAATGGGTAAAAAAAAATCTGTCAGAGGGAGAACTTTATGAGTACCGGTATGTTTTTCTAGAAATCTCCATGTAGGGATGGGTATAAAACTGGAACATCCTATTGGTGAACAGTAGAAGATAACTCTCTTCCTGTCTATACTCCTCAAGGAAGTAACACAGTAGTATTCTGCCATGTGAATGGATTGTAATACAGATGGGTACAGACAGGAACAGAGTCAAGGTCAGACAGTTGTTAGTTCTTATCTCAGTATTTGTTAATGGAATGACAATGCTAAGCAAACTACCTTCTCACAATTCTAAAATTTGCTTCCAAAACTATTTTAAGGATTACTGAGAAAACCATATTGTGTGTAAGATTGCTAAATCGGGATTTAAAAACATTCCAAACAAAATATCGCTTTATTATATTTTCAAAGTTACAAAGAAGACATTTTCCTGGTTTTTATAAGACATTTCTTGTCTCTGAATTAAAATTCTCCAGAATTCATTGCGGTCATAAAAATCAGGTTTATTTTATGCTGAGAAAAGCATATTTGTGTTCCCTTTTGAAGAGGCAAGCATGGGAAATTTGAGTATTATTGTTGCAGATGAACTGGACACAAACATAAATAAACCCCGTCACATTAGTCCATTATGATTGCAGAATCTTCTCTATGTTGGATACAGTTTACATTTTTTCTTCCCAATTCTGCATTCTAGCCTTAGAAAATTGCTAGTGCCAATTTCTTTTTAGATACAAAAATTGGATTCTATTTTCTCTCTTTTAACTTACATAGAGCATCAGCCGCAAAAGACGCTATGTTGCAACAGTTTCCTTGCATGACCGGATATATGTGATAGGTGGCTATGACGGCCGTTCACGTTTGAGCTCTGTGGAATGCTTAGATTATACTTCTGATGAAGATACCATTTGGTACTCTGTAGCGCCAATGAATGTTCGACGGGGTCTAGCAGGGGCCACAACTCTAGGAGGTATGTATTGAAAAACAACCAACTAATGATTACTCTTGGAAAAAATCCACATGTGGGAAATATTTAATGATGAACGGATCTTTGGTCCTCTCTGAGCTTGGTGGTTTTCTTGCAGACAGTTCATTATCCAAACTAGGTAACATCATCAGTGCTAGTAAGGAGCTGGGGTTGGCTCTCAATTTATATTCTGGTGACTTGCCCTGTCAGTGTTGGTGGGAGTGGTCTTGGTGGTTCTTGGTTGGGCTATTCACTGTTAGCTTGTTTGGAAGTTCCTTGATTGGGGTATTGTTTACTTCTTGATTGTTGGTCTAACATTAATCCTGATGTTAATTTGCTCATCTGACTGTTGATTACTGGTGTGGAGGTGTTTTGGTTTTTTTGTTCCCTTTTTTGGCTTGTTGATTGTTTCTTTTGCACAGTACTAGATGTTGTTTATGTCTATGTGTCTGTTCATGGCCAATTTGTCTGAGTGCCAGGCTTGCAGAAATTTTCTAGCATCTAGGATTGTCACAGTTTCCCAGTTGAAACTATGGTTAAGTCTGTTCATATGTTGTAAAATTAAAGAGTTGTCATCATGTCTTCTGATTGCTAGTTGGGGTTCATTGATCTGTTCTGCTAGTCTTCTGCCTGTTTGTCCTACATGGTGGCTCTTGCAGTCTTAACACTGTACGTTGTAGATGACTCCTGTTTTTTCTTCTGAAGCTACTGGGTCTTTTGGTTTATTTTCTTTTTTCTGAGGCTTTAGTTGGCTTGTGTTTATGTTGATTCCATGTGGTTGCAATGGTCTGTGGTTGTTTCTGAGATTTTTGGTTTTATGGCATTGTTGTCCTTTTTACAACTTGAGTTGGTTGTGCTATATTGGCTTGAGTGGTCAGGCACTTTTTGATGAAGTTGCGTGAATATTCATTTTGTTGGAAGATGTTGTATAGATGATCTGTTTGCTTTTTCTGCTGTTTAGGGTTGCTGCAGTACACTTGTGCTTATCTAAATAGAGTTCTTACACAGCTTCTCTGGTAGGGTGTTGGTAATTAATATTACTAACAATAATAATTAACCAAAGTAATAACCCAACCTCCCACAAGAGAATGAATACATGGCAAGAATGGGGGGTGGAAAATGTTTGTATAGATTTCTCTGTTTGCCATATGTTGCTATATTTGACTTGTGCATAATTTTTTTAATGATTCAGTTATGCATGCAAAGAGCGAGTCTAATTTCATTTTGAATGAGAGATTGAAATAAATGATAGTTTGACTTCAGAATCTTCATGTTCAGTATCTTTTATCATGTATGAGCCTTTTTTACCATTTTCTTTTAAATGATTTTCAAAATACGTACAACTCTGTCTGTTTATCTAAGTGTTCTAAATACACTTTTTGCCTTTTGCTGCAATTTTCAATTTGTGTATCCTAAAGAAACTAGGGCAGAATTTTTGAAGCTAGAGAACCAATCACTTGTGTGTACAAGATTTGGTCCTCCTGATTTAGGGGTTTAATTTCACGAAGGTTAATTTCAGGGAGTTAATTAGTTTAATACAGAGATTTGAAGAGTGCAACCCACTAGCATTAGTAATTTCTTCCTCCAGAGACATGGAACCAGAAATGTTAAGAGTTTGGAAAAGGGAGCTTAATGGTCAAAATGTTCTATTCCATCTTTTATAAACTTCAAAAAGCATCCCAGTCCCATCTACTTTTGCATGTGATCCTCAACATGGCAAGGAAATTTCCAAATTTCTTAGCTTGATTTCTAAGCCAGTAGAAAATGCACATTCCTGATGTAATATTTACTCCCTTTGGTAGTTCACCCTTGCTTTTATCACTTGTACTTGTATGGAATCAAGAACACGCAAAGTATTAGTACCGCTTTATAAAACCCTAGTAAGACCACACCTAGAATACTGCAACCAATGTTGGTCACCATATCACAAAAAAGATGTTGAGAGTCTGGAAAAAATTCAGAGAAGAGCAACTAAGATGATCAAAGGCCTGGAGACTAAAACATATGAAGAAAGGTTGCACGACTTGTCTAAAGAAAAGAAGAAATAGGGGAAAGATGATAGCAGTCTTCCAGTATTTGGGGGGCTGCCACAAAGAAGAGGGGGTCATGTTATTCACCAAAGCGCACCAGAGGGCAGGACAAGAAACAATGGTTGGAAACTGACCAAAGAGAAAAGCAACCTGGAATTTAGGAGAAACTTCCTGACAGTGAGGACAATCAACCAGTGGAACAGCTTGCCTCCAGAAATCTTGGGCACTCCATCACTAGAGATTTTCAAGAAGAGGCTAGACAGTCACTTGTCTGAGATGGTATAAGTCCTCCTGCTTGAGCAGGGGGCTGGACTAGAAGATCTCCAAGGTTCCTTCCAGCTCTACTCTATTCTATTCTTATTATAAATTTCTATATTTCATTTGATACGCTGTGGGGTGCTTTGGAAATAAAGTAAAACAGTAATACACATAATTTAATAAGAAAAGTTTAGAAAAATTGTGATTAAAAAAAAAACCTCTCTCATGAAATAGCTGACTCCAGTTTGCTCTGTTATAGATATGATCTATGTTTCTGGAGGTTTTGATGGAAGCAGACGCCATACCAGTATGGAAAGATATGATCCAAATATTGATCAGTGGAGTATGTTGGGAGATATGCAGACAGCTCGTGAAGGTGCAGGACTGGTTGTGGCCAATAATATTATCTACTGCCTTGGTATGTAAAACCCCCCTCCCATTTGGATGTTCTAGTATTAAAAGTGTTGATCAAACATACTCCATCATCCACAGATTTTCTCTTGTATGTAAATTATCAAGTATGAAAATATTTTTACCTGGAGTGCCCTTCGTACAAAATTCCAGTATCTCAAAATTGTAACTGTAAATGGAGTACTACAAGATAGAGATTAGGAATTGTCAGATTTCATCAATTCCTTAATATTTGTGCGTTTAGGAGATACAGTAGTACCTTGGTATTCATTGTTAATTGGTTCCAGAACAAAATTGCCGAGACAAAATTTTCATATCAAAATGCATTGAGTACCAAATTTGATGAGCTTCAAAGCACTTGAATAACAAGACACCGTATAAAAAAATGCTCTAAACTATTAGATATTTAAAAATTTATCAGCACTGTAATATAATTTCATCTAGAAAAAGAAATGTTCTAAGAAGTTTATTTGTAACAAATTAAAGTCTAGTTGAATTGGGTTTTATGAAATTAAAATGAACCTCCATCATTTTTCCTAGAACACTAAAGGTAATATATTCTGATACCTTATGAATGAAGAAAATCATTCAAGCCTTCTAGAATAACCTTTGCTCAACAAGCATGCTTAAATATTATAAATTGACACTATAGCAGCCATTATATCCAGGCAATTAGAATAATTATGCAGCAAAGTATAACACTATTCACTATAAGAGTATTTGTCCAAGGCTGGCATTTGTAAATCAAATCTTTATTAGGGCCATAGACCAGTATAAGGAATGAGGGTGGGGGGGTACAGTTGTTAGCTATAAGATATAAAAGATATGTAATTAAAAACTAAAGGTATATATAAAGAGCAAGAGTCTAAAATAAGGAATACCATTAGATGCGTATAGGAGAGCATAAAGGTTAATATGTGGAAAGCTATATTAGATTACAAAGTTAATATTGTAGACTAGGTGCTTATTAAATTTAGTTTATAGTGCAGATAATCATCCAATGCATTTTGAATGCTGCCGCACAGAACCAGAAACATGGTATGTTGTAACAGGATGAAAACAACAGGATGGTGTAAAATTGTCTTGTGTGCTTGGATATTTATTTAATAATGGTAAGATGAGGCTAGTGCAAATGGCTCTGTAGTACAAGCACTGGGGAGACACACGTTCTGTAGTTCTGTGTCTTGAGACACATGGTTTGTAGTCTCCAGTGACAAGGGGCATTGTCTTTCCAGGAGAGGAATCTTCCTATATCAGCCTTTTTTTATATACAAAGCTTTATTAGTTTATAATATACGATACAATCGAAATACAAAGTAAATAGCGGAAAAGATGGAAAAGGGAAGAGGGAGTAGAAAAGTGAGGTAACGGAGAAAAAAAGGCATTGACTTCTGACTTCCTTTGGTGCAATAAAGTAGCAACTTCAAACCTCAACTTTTTACTTTTACAAAATACTATAAACTAGCCATTTCAATAACATCAAATCTATCTAATTGGTAAAGCCCACAGTCAAATTTTCATTTTTTTTTCCACCTCAAGCACAAAATCTAGAAGCGGTTTCCACGTGGCAATAAAAGTATTCGTATTTTTTTCTTTAATCAGTACAGTCACCTATATCAGCTTTCAAGGACAGCATGATATCATAAAGGAGTTTTAAAGGCCCTTTTGGGTTTAGGGCTGACATTTGTAGAATTTATTTTTTCAGCATCCAAATAATAAAAAGGTAGGTGTGTAAATTAGGACCTCTATATACTATTGTCGCACTGAATCAGTATGGCTACAAATCTGTGTTGTTGTTGTTTCCCCACTATGGATCTTTTTGCTTTTTATGGGTTTTCTTTATTCTGAGTCTGAATATAAAACAAATAGAGACACTTAACTTATTTTACTTTCTGTTCTGTATGCATTTAGGTGGGTATGATGGTCTAAACATCTTAAATTCTGTGGAACGATATGATTCCCATACAGGGCATTGGACAAATGTGACTCCAATGGCTACTAAACGCTCAGGTGAGATTTCTGATTGGGTTATGGAATTATGGAATAAAATCTAAATGCTTTCTAGATAGAATAAATCTAAATAAGAGAAAGGGATAAAATAAAAGTCTACATCTTTCTGTAAAATGTATACTGCGCACAGTCACTCATGCCCTCGTTACCTCCCGCCTGGACTACTGTAATGCTCTCTACATGGGGCTCCCCTTGAGGAGCACCCGGAGGCTTCAACTGGTCCAGAATGCGGCCGCGCGGGCGGTGTTGGGAGGGACTCGTCGCTCCCATGTAACACCGCTGCTGCGCGAGCTGCACTGGTTGCCGGTGGCCTTCCGGGNTCCTCAGGGTGCCGTCAGCCAGACAGTGCCGGCTGGCGACCCCCAGGGGGAGGGCCTTCTCGGTGGGAGCCCCCACCCTCTGGAACGAACTACCCCCAGAGATCCGGGTGATCCCAGATCTCCCCTCCTTCCGCCGCGCCCTAAAGACATGGCTTTTCCAACAAGCGGGATTGGCCTAGGGAATTTTAGTGGGGTTTTTAAGGGTAATTTTAAGGGTAATTTTAACGACCAGGCCTTGACGAATATTTTCTTTTAATTTGGTTTTTAATTGATATTTGTTGTATGTTGTTTTATAAGGCTGTTAGCCGCCCTGAGTCCGGTGTGGAGAAGGGCGGGATATAAATCAAATTATAAATAAATAAATAAATAAATAAATAAATAAATAAATAAATAAATAAATAAATAAAAATTTTACAGAGTGAGACACATTTAGTAGACAGTATCTGTTGAGCAAAAGTGTTTTCCTCAGGCAGCCTTCCTGAAAAAGTTTTTAAAAAAGACATTTAACTATGAAGCTAGAATTCCCCAAGCTTACCAGTGATCAGCTTTTTTCCAAAATCTCTATCTTTACAACATAAACCACATTGTTTCTCACTCTATTATGTTTAGTAGGCATTTTATATGTGTACTTCCTTGGACATCCTGAAACAACATCACCACAAATTAATTTACTATTAATTTAAACTTTCAGTAGTAATTATGAATATTAAAGAAAGTTGTTAAGAATGAGGGCACATGCAGTTGTTATTACTAGGTTTTTATTCTACTTTTTATTATATAGCTGAGGGCAGCAAACAAACTTTATACTCCTGCTTCCTATTTTCCCCACAACAACAAGAACTCTGTGAGGTGGGTTGGGCTAAGAGAATAATTGCCCCCAAGTCACCTAGCTGACTTTCTTGCACAAGGATAGAAGTTAGCATGTCTTATCAAAAGCAGACTATGCAGTTTCCTATAATCCCGCCCGGGTATGACTAACAGAAGGAATTCATCTACTTTGCTATCAGATTTCATTACTTCTCCTTGCAGGAGCTGGAGTAGCCTTGCTGAATGACCACATATATGTGGTTGGAGGGTTTGATGGAACATCACATCTCTCCTCTGTGGAAGCGTATAACATTCGTACAGACTCTTGGACAACAATAACAAGCATGACAACACCCCGCTGTTACGTGGGGGCAACAGTGCTCCGTGGAAGGCTTTATGCCATAGCTGGGTAAGCAGATGATGCCTGTGGAACTAACATTTATGATCCTTAAATGTACTAGGTACCCCCGAGATTTGTTTTGTTTTATAGAATTATAGCCTACATCTTCTATACCTCTCTAGATACCATTTATTTTGGGTATAATTAGATACTGTGTGCATACATGATCTGTCATCTTATTCAAACCCTTTAAAGTCATTTCTGCTTTGATGGAAGCTATGCCTTTGTTTATATGGTGTATATCACAGGCCAATCACATTGCTGTTTGTTTGCCTGTGTATTTCTTGCTCCAAGTTACTTAGATCAGTGCTTTTCAGCCCGTTGCACCTGGCAGGTGGTATGCATACAATGGGTTGGAAAACACTGTAAAAAAAGTTTAAAAGTGTAGTGAGGGGTTGAGCTAAAGCGGCGGCAGCACTGCATGGGCCTGTGGGAGAACCAGCTGGAGCTGCAGTGTTGCCAGGGCTTTGCTGAACGTCCAGGATTGGCGCCAGGCTCCAGTTGATTGGCACTTCCAGAAGCAGTGCGTAGCTGGAAGTGCACGGAAGAGAAGAGGAGGAGGACAGAATGGAGGATATAAAAGGTTTTGGCGGGAAAGGGAGAGAAAAAAAAAGACAACGGGGGGGGGAAGAGAATGTGACAGAAAAAGACAGAGAACCGCAGCCTTGAGGAGAAAAGTCAGCTGGAGGTGCACCAAAGAGGAGGGAGGGAGAGAGGAGAGGATATAAAAGGAGCAGGTTTTGGCAGCAGAGGGGAAAAAAGACGACAGAGAAAAGGGATGGAGAAGAGGCTGTGGAAGGAGAGCCCAGCAGGCAGGGAGGAAAAAGAGTGAGGAGAGGGAGAGAGGAAGAAGGGCCAACCAGCCAGCTGACCACCAAAGTAGTGGTGTGTATTAATAACTATGGATAAATTTGTCATATATTTGTCAGTGCAAAGGGAAAGTGGTTCAGCAAAGGAACCGCCACCGAAGAAATTAAAACTGGTACTTTTTTTATGGTTTATAACATTTTATTAGATTATAGAATAAAATACAAAAATACAAAGGCGAATAGTAGGACACAGTGGGGAGGAAAAGGGGGGGGAAATTGAGGGGGAGAAGGGAAAAAGAAAAGGCATTGACTTCCGACTTCTTCTGTTGCAGTAGAATGAAGCATTAACACCAAACCTCAACTTTTTACTTTTCCATAATAGTATAAACTAGCCATTTCTATAACAACAAATCAATCTAATCACTAAAACCCAAAATCCCCTCCCCTTTTTTTTAGTCATCACGTTTTTGACACCTTGCTAAGCACTGATGGTACTCGAATATTGTCACGTCCTAAAAGTGATACAATCTGTGAAAATGTTGAAAAGCCCTGGCTTAGATCACAGGGATTCACCTGAAGTGCAACACCTGGAGGGGACCATTTTAGGTGACTTTTAACATCTACCTCATTATGATGTAGGTTTGAAACCAAAGATATTAAAAAATAAGGCTGTTCTATGTCTATGTCATGTTGACAAAACCAACAGTTTACTGTATATAAAATGACAGTGCATTCTGGTTCCATACCCAGATTATATATTAATAAAGTGCACTTGTCCTTGTCCTAAATTTCCTATAAAAATGTAAGATGGAAATTGGTCTATTGTATAGTAATAGTATGAGTAAAAGTAGATACAGGTAGTCCTCGACTGTCTGTATAACAAGCTTTGCCTTACGCTAATTTCTGAATAGTTTTAAAAAGCTCTGAGAAGAGCTTTACTTTCCTCTGACAAAGGTATTGTGATAGTTCTGACTATAATCTGGACCTTAGCAAGGTTTCATGTGTAAATCTCTATTGTATACAGGTATGATGGAAACTCACTCCTGAGCAGTATTGAATGCTATGATCCTATCATCGACAACTGGGAAGTGGTGACATCACTAGGAACCCAACGTTGTGATGCTGGTGTTTGTGTGCTACGAGAGAAGTGACTTTAGGAAAGGCTTGGGAGAGCACTTCCATGGAACAATTACCAGAAAAAACATTGACTGACTTGGAATTATTCATCTTGTAGCTGTGAATTAAGTCACTTTTAATATCCGGATTATGCTGCAAAACATCAACAAATCTACTGATTCTGGTTTGAAGAAAAACCCAGACACAATGCACTTTGACTTGACAATGGATGAACTGCATGCTTATGTAGACTAAGCTTGTAAAAATGAATTATCAGAGCTGCAAGAACGTCTGCCTCCTGGTCTGCTGAATATCTAAAATTAAGTTGGTCATCTCAGTTGTCTCTAATCATCAGCACGTACTCATTGAGTTTTGAGCACATCCAAAGTTCAGTTTGTTCCTGAATATTTTCATATACCAAATATCCTGGTGAACATCATATGAGCAGATCAAACTTTTTTTGGATATTTTTTTCAGATTCTGCACCAGCTTGCCCATGTCCTTCTGGAAAGCAATCAGGCACAACTGATCTGTGAAAATGAAAGATTCTGTATATCGGTATACGAACTTTACATATGCAATACATAAGGTGGGGCAAGAGGCAGACATAGAGGAAAATTAGCTACTGGGATATGCAGTCATGTCTGCTGGGGAGAACAGTAGGCAAAGCAAGCAGACAGCGCTACATCTTTAAATATTTTAAAAAATACCAGAGGCTAGAATCAATATGCACTAGAGAAAAAAATTATGTGCTAGTGCTTAAGCAACAACCAGGTTTATGTTTACATATGACTTCTAAGCTACAAACTCTTGCCAGTAGCAGAACAATGAAGGATGTTCTTGGCATCTTGAATGCGGCAGTTATTTATAAATAATATGTGCTTTTGAAGAAAACCTTTATCCAAGGTACTTTTTAGGGATTGGATGTGCCCACGCACTATGAGTTATCACTTCAAATCATAAGACATTCCCAAAGGTACAGTGATCACTTTCAAGTTGCACTGCAAATAAGGTTGAAATGTGATGCCTATAAAGGGATTGCAGTGTGTATGTCCAGGATGAATGTCAGTACACATTTTTTGCATTTCAGTTTTGTTATTCTGTATTTCTGATGCTTCAGCCAGAAAAGTTAACTTCCTTCTTATCCACTAAGGATTTTTGAATAATCATCTCCAAAGCAAGCTGGAACTATTGACTTGCTCAAGTCATTCCTCTGTGGTGGCACCTAAGATTCCCAGCTCCCTATCTCCTTAATATGCCTCTGATATATAATGCAGCTTGTATTAGATACGTGAAGACAAGTCGCTTTGCTGGTGGAAACATAACCCTGTGGATAATGCTCCCCCATCCTCAATTATGTGCTGTGGCTTTCAGTGTGACCTTGGCATTTTCTCCCATAAATCTACTGAGGCTTTGTGTGTGTTATCCAATCAGGAACCAAGGGATGAATGTATTTATTTTCTTGGGTGTGGGTGACTTCTTGTTTTGGGGATGGGGGTACAATAGACTAATTATGCACTTTCAAATAACATTGATTTAAAAATCCTGACCTATCACACTAGTGTTTGATTCCTTTCATATGTATTTTTTAATAAAAGGATGGCTGGTTCAAATATTTGATATCTCCATATAGATTGATTATACTTGCACTATTATATTAAATACTGTGTTCGTTTTTAGGTGTCACTGATTTAGAAAAGGCTAAATATAATATTGCCAAGAGCATATCATATATAACTCTTTGAAGGCTTACCTAGGTTTCCAACAGTAATTATGATTACATAATAGGGATTTTAAATTTTCCTGGCCTTCTGGGTTTTGAATTTGTGTTTTATTTCCTTAAGAGACACTAACATTCTTTAATCATATTGCCATATTTTTAAAAAGATTAAAACTGAAACCTTTATCACTCTCATTAATGTAGAAGGGATTTTATTGTGAAAATAGATGTAAACTAATACTGTTGTGGCTATTACTTAAAAGCCAACAATGTTATTGAAGTACAAGTTTTTACAACTAGAAAATAACTAATTTCATATAATAGTTTTCAGACTTAAGCTTATGAAAAGATTAAGACAGCTACTATCTAAGCCAGAGGTCCCCAATCTTTTGGGCACCAGGGACCGGTTCCATGGAGAGATGTTTTTCCACAGACCAGAGGGTGTGTGGTTTTGTGTGCTGCCTGCATCTCACAGACAGGGCTTTGCTTGTTTGTGCGGACCAGTTGCTGGCATGCTGCAGCCCATTACTGGTCCATGGACTGGGGGTTGGGGACCCCTGATCTAAGCTACATCTATAGAATTCCTGGATTTTATTAGTTATCTGCATAATTTCATGTTTATATTATATGAGCTCTCAAATTGGGTGCATAGTTTGTTAATTTGCTTTTGGTAATTACAGTAAAATTTTGGAGCCTTTTATGAGACATGACAATACTCTTCATGATAATATTGAAAGCGCAAAAGAGAAAGCTACAGCCTAATAGTCATGCAGTGAGTCCATTCGCACATTGATAAAAATACTAAGAATTAAAACCATTTCTTTTGAAGATGTTTAGCACTGCTTCGGTATGTAAAACCATATTGAATTGGCATAATGAACGGTTTTCTGCGATCACCCGGACGTCAGGATCAGTAGTTGTAGCTTGCTCTTTCCGAAGCGAAGGCGGCATTTTCATGGGAAATTATGGGAAATTACCATCCAGTGTTTCTCAACCTTGACAATTTTAAGACATGTGGACTTCAACTCCCAGAATTCCACAGCCAGCATTGCTGGCTGTGGAATTCTGGGAGTTGAAGTCCACATGCCTTAAAATTGTCAAGGTTGAGAAACACTGGCACTCTATGCTGAAGTGAACTAATAAATAACCGATGCAGAAATGTTTGGGCACGCTTTTTACTATATGAGCTGCCAAGGTCTCCTAATAGATACTAAACCTACGTATAGCTGTAGCCACAACGTAAAGTAGGGTTCTCAAGTCGAAGCCCTGTCATTTTCAGAATTGAATCAAACTAGCCGGTATCTCGAGTCTAAGTACCTGGTTTTACTTTTTAATTTCTTCCTGGATCAGATGCTATGTTGTGATCCTTGATTGTTTACTTGAAATCTGATGTAGACAGGACTCCAGCAGAGGCACCTGGAAAGCTCGCCCGCCGTCCCCCCCTTCCCCCGGTTTCAGTAGCCAGTGTTTCTCAACCTTGACAATTTTAAGACATGTGGACTTCAACTCCCAGAATTCCACAGCCAGCATTGCTGGCTGTGGAATTCTGGGAATTGAAGTCCACATGCCTTAAAATGGTCAAAGGTTGAGAAACACTGCTAGCCGCTCCCACTTTCAGAAATGCGGTGGACAGGAGGGTAACCTGATCCCGCCTATCCGGGTAGGTAGAGCAACATTTCCTGACGTCAGCGTCGTTAAGCTTGTGGACTTCAACTCCCAGAATGCCATAGTCTGGTGGAGAGCTGAAGTCCACAGTTTAAAGTTGCTGAAGTCGAGAAACGCCGCCGTGAAGACTCTCCTCCCTGGCTCTATTGCGCTTGCGCAAGTATGGCGGCGCCCAGTGCGGCGATGGAGGCGGCTGAGCTGGGACCGGAGGAGCTTGTGTGCGCCAGTGGGCGGAACCGCAAAGCCGTTCTTTGCCAGCGCTGCGGCTCCCGCGTCCTTTTGCCCGGAGCTGCAACCTTCACCCGCAGAGAGGTAGGGCGTAGGCGGCCCGCCGCTGTGCTGTAGTCGGTGGTGGTCGCCAGTCGAGAGGCTCTCCTCCCCCGTGTAACTTCCAGCCTCAGATGAAATCGGAGTTGCCAATTCCTTGATCAGACAGATAGATTTAAACAAAGCTAATCTTTCTGAGGATGGAAAATTATTTTGATTAGGTCCCTAATGAAAAGACATCCCTTCCCTCCTTGGCCTTCCAATCTATAGAGTGAGATGCATGAAGTACTTTGTCGTGGTAGTGAAATATGCCTGAAATTAAATCAAGGATCCAGACCAGAGGAATCTAGCAGCAAACTGAATACCTCTTCTTGCCAGTTTTGTATTTGACACCACTCTGGAGCTCCCCTCTCCACTATGCCAGTTATGTGGCTGCTTTCATAATTGTATCCCAGACTAGCTGGCTTTGGGGTCTCCTCATTTCTCACTCTCAATAATGCAGAAGTATGGGTTGATTTGGCCTAAAGGCACACTGTAAATGATGTGATTAAGTAGAAACTTAAACCAAGCCTCCCCATCTAACTCCAGTGTTCTCTTTTCTCTCCTACATTGGCTCATCAATAACAAGCTTCTTTTGTTATTTGACAGCTGTTTCTTCCTGCTATGAAGAAGAAGACCGCTTTGGTGACAAACAGTGACCTAGAAGGGGATGTTTTGCAGGACCACTGGCTAGTTGAGGACATGTTTTCTTTTGAAAATGTTGGTTTCACCAAGGATGTTGGAAATGTAAAGTTCCTGATCTGCGCAGACTGTGAAATTGGTCCTATTGGCTGGCACTGCTTGGATGATAAAAAGAGTTTTTATGTGGCCTTGGACCGTGTTTCTCATGAATGAAATGCTCATAGCTGACCAAAAGTGGCTCCTAGTCACCTGGTTACACCACATTCTAAATAACTTTCCAAGTTCATGGCCTCCATATGCAGGCTTGAAACTGGCACAAATGAAATGCCCTTTTCAGATGCATCAATTGAAATATTTGCTTATATTGTTTGTTCAGTTGCAACTCATTTGTACTGACCAAATTTGTACTGACCAAATTTGTACTGATATTTAATAATGTCCAATTATGTGCATATACTTTGAAACACACAGTTCCATGCAAAGTGGCAATTCAATTTCCTTAGTAAAAAAGGAAAGATATTCAGAATTTTGTTCTCTGGAAAATAAGTGTGTAATACAACAGGGAATAAGGCTTCTGATTTTTGGGGAGAGGAGAGGTCATACAATATTGTGATTTATGGCTTTCTGCTCTGTTCTGGATAAAAGAGTAAACATTTGTGATTTTGAATGTTTACCGATATCTAATGTTTACAAATAACTGAATTTCCACTTCAAGATCATTGTTAATTAAAAGTCAGTTACAGGTCATCTTAAATATAAAGATAGTCAAACTGCAGGAGGTAATAATGGAAAATTGAAACTGAATTTTTAATTGAATTGAAATCATGCATTTTAATGTATGTATTGTTTATATTGGAAGTACCAATAGCTAATGAAAAACGGCTCTAATAGGTGTAATCTTACAGTTTCTAATAGAACCTCCATTATTAATCTTTTTTTTAAAGTTACTGTAACACAACTCATTACTGAAGCCCCTTGCAATGATATGGTCAATGAATCACCCAGCAATCATTTAGTCTAGTTAAGAGTACTATCTAAATGTGGGTCCTTTATTTTTCCTCTGTCTAGAACAGAGGTGTCAAACTGCCGGCCCACAGGCCGATGCATCACGTGGAAGCCAGGGGAAAAAAGTCTTGACACATCGTGACATGTCACATGACGTGGTGACTTTGACACCCCTGGTCTAGAAGAAAATAGAGAACTAAGCCATGTTTTATTCTCTGGCTTCTATGGTGTACCAAACCCTTCATTTAGATGTCAAGTTTAGAGTGTTCTCCAAGACTTGGGAGTACGGTGGATATTGAACCAATCAGTTGCCTTTATTATATTGTACTGTCTGTTTGGCAATATGCCTGCTTCTTTTTTGTTCAATTATATAATTCCTTTTAGTTTTAATTGTAAAACGTCCAGGGTTGTTTGGACTTGGGCTGCCTCTGAATTTCAATAAATAAAAATAGGCTGTGTGAAAGATGGTCAGCTTATTAGCTACATGCTCTTCATAGGATGGACAACTCCCAGGGAGAGGGCATGTTTATAGCTTAATCTTAACCATGCTAAGTATGACATGAATGCTGTTAAAATGCTACAGTGATTCTGGTTTCTCTGTGTTAATTTAAAGAAATAACGTTAGCTGAGGTTTGTTTTTTTTATTTAAATTTATTGGGGTTCATAATGCTCCCACTCCAACCATACATCAATTCATGTTTGTGAATTGTACATGTATAGGTTTTTCATCTCTGGATATCTGTATAAAAGTTTGGATATTCAGAAATAAAGATCAGTGGTACACAACACTGACACTGAACTTCAGTGAGTTCAGTTTTACTGCAGGAGTAGCTTTGTTACATAAGCCATTCTTCAGGCTTTGTTCATGGTTTCTAAACGCTATAGGTACCAATTATGTACAGGGTAGGAGTGCACAGCTTCCAAAGGTGAATAATGACTGTAAGGGACTGGTATTGTGTCTAATTTTGCACTTGGATGTCATCTTCACACTATCAGCTAGCTGGAGAGCAAGCCCAATTCAATAAAGAAAATTTGGGGCTAGATATTCCAAAAAATGACTTTCTGGGTTCTGCTGGATAATTCAGCTGTCATTGCTCTCTTCCCCCCCCCCCCCCCAAAAAAAAAAAATATCTCCTCCTATTAACCAAGTCTGTCTCCTTGAGTACATTGTGATGCATCTGAATACAGGCTGGGAAACAATTTAACAAAACGAAATGTTTCTTTTTGCTGCATAGAGCCTGGTGATATTTCCATGTTAAATGTCTACCACATGGTGGCACCATTATTCTATGAATGGGAAGGTACTTGCTGGGGAATCTTATACTAGCTCTGCAAAAATTAAAAAGGCTTTGTTAAATCCCTAATACTACAAGTAGCAACATTTTTGTTATGTCTGTCATCTTAAATATTGCTACAGATAAATTAATACATAGAATATCCTCAAGGAATATTTTTCATGTTTTGCTGTCGCAGTAACTAGGTTCACCAAACATGCCAAAGTAGAAGTAGAATAAATAATAGTTTAGTATATTGTGTAAATCCACTATTTAAAAAAATGATACTTGGCCTGAATTTTGAAACAGAAATCAACTATACATCACATTTTTCTGTTTGACAAAAGCATGTTTCAGACTTTTTGCAATAGATCTTAATACTTTAAAAGAAGAGGAATTAAATTGATATAGCATCTCACTCCACATGGCAAACCAAACTTACAGAATGAATTAAATTGTAGCATACATGAAGCAGTAAGAGGAATTTTGTCATATATGTCAGATGCAAATGAGAAGTTTTGAAGAGGAAAAGAAGTTTCCTCTTCCTACATGTACATCGCTTGCTAGCAACTAACAGCAAAAGATTCCACTGTCTGGAAGTGCAGCGCAACCAGAGAAATCGTGGTGTGTTTAAAAAAAAAAAAAAAAAAAGCTTAAATCCTGTAAACACTTCAAGCATACTAACCTCTTTCTTACGTAATGTATGGGGGTGATATTGTAAACTGGCTATAGGAGGAAATAGCCATACTTCAACACTTTTTGCAGTTTTTTTTTTATAAAAAAAATTCTAGGGAAAGGCAGAGTACACTAATTGTATAAAGAAAACAATTCACAAAATGATAATGCAGTGCTTTTGAGCAAGGATAATTATTTTTAATGTTCATTTTTGTTATTTTTACATTTTTAAATGGCTGCATGCTGGCCTTCCTATTGTGATAATAGGTTTTTTTAAAATAAATGTCTTAAATTTTTTAAAAATGCTTCTTTAAAAGTGCTCAAAACACTGCCATCTAATGACCATAATTTTTGCAGTATATTCTATAGCAATTCAATTACAAATGAGAGCATTAAATGGCACCAGTCCTATTTTTTAAAATGTGGAAAATATTATGAACTTTTAACATGTGAATGTAGTTCTTTTCTGCAATACTTTGGAGTAAAAATATTTGAATCTTGCACAATAACATTAAACCAAATATTGTATAATGAATAACAAATGAACTTTCCTTCTGCAACAAAGCAGTCATCTTGCAAGATCCTAAATCTCAGTTATTTTCTAATGAACAAATCAGAAATTAATTTGAACAAATTAAAATAGCAGATTTTTTAAAATATATTTACAGTTAGAATAATTTTATTTGCTTGGAAGAAAGATGTTTAAGAGATGCTTGTTGCTAAGTCAATAATATGATGGTGGAATTATATCTATGGAGATTCTCAATCATCCAGATCATGGTGGTCCCAAAATTGTTTTTTCCAAAAGACAATTGGATTTTCTTGTTTGTTTGTTTGTTTCATTTTTTTCCCCAATTCAGAACTCAAGAAGTTCTTGGATGAGAAGCACAATATTTTCAAAGAAAAAAAACCAAGAAAGTCCAGTTGCCTTTTGGAAAGAGCACCTTTGGGATAGTGGAATTAAATTAATTCTTCTCTACTGGCATAATGTGTAACAAAAATATACTATAAATTTACAATAAAGATAAAAACCTCTTAGAAGAGAGATGAAAATCCCCTAAATTCAAGGTAAACATTGCAGTTTACAATTTAAAATAAGGAGATGTTATTTGGTCTTTATTCTAAATTTGCTCTAGAAAGAAAAGCATTTGTGAATACTACAGTTACGTCTTGAGAACATCTGAAAACAAATCCTTATGCTCAGATGCATTTAAGTCTATTTTTTTTTTTATCTCAGGGACAACCCAGTGAATTTGAAGGTTCTTTTACTAGATGCTGTATTCATGTAGCCTGCAGTTTTTGAGTTAGACAGATTAAAGAAAAACAAATGGATATGACACCAATATGGGCATGATAAGCATCTTAAAGTTCTAATTACCTTCCTAGAGGTATGACAGGGGTAGTCAACCTTGGCTCTTTTATGACTCGTGGACTTCAACTCCCAGAATTCCTGAGCCAGCCAAGCTGGCTCAGGAATTCTGGGAATTGAAGTCCACGAGTCATAAAAGAGCCAAGGTTGACTACCCCTGAGGTATGATAACATTGGAAGGGGTCATTTAAATTATGCAACCTCCTGCTGATATATCCAAATGAAAATGGTTCTTGATAGGTAGCTGTCCAGCTGTCAAATATATTCACTGAAGGGGAACTCTCTTATCTTCTTTAATAATTGGTTAACTGTCAAATTGCTGTTAGTATTATTCTTGCATTAAATTGAAATTCATCTTCCTACAATTAAAGATTATTCTGATACCTGTACTCAAGTACAACAGGAGAAACGGATCTTGAACCTCTGCGTGATGCCCTTTTACATAACAAAATATCTATTTTAACCTTAATCAAATACAGCAAATTGAATTTACATTCCTTCCTTTTACTTTCAACAATCTTGGTCTTTAGTCTCTTCAAAAAATGTCCTAAATCTTGATTTCTTTTCATTTTTTTCCCCCAAAATTCTTCAAAGTTTTAACAAACTTCTTTGTAAATCCAAATAGGAAAATTATCCAGGTCACTCTTTGTTTGTTATGTATATATACTTTTTAATTATTAAGAAATTGCCAGTTTCTTCTGTATGTGAAATATACCATTATTTTCCATATCATTCTTTTTGCCTATCATTTTAAAATCCACTTTCAGATTAGTCTCAGTCTTGTCCAGTAAAACATGTACCTCTTTCATAACATCTAAATACTGTATACAGGCAGATACTTTAAAATTAACCTCTGGGTCCATTTGTTTAAAACTATCCTTTAATATGTCCACTGTTAAAATGTTTTGCTCATTTTTGCATTCAATATCAATCAAATTTAAGTGTTCTCCTTTAGTTATAATCTTAACTTCCTTCTAGTTCCCGCTAGTGTCCAACCTTCAAAGAGTTATCCTATCATTGTTTTTAAGAATTCAAAACAAAAGCAGTTTCCCATTAGAAGGATTCTTATAATTAATTGCATATTCTTGTTTCAAATCCATCTGGGCCCCTGGTTTGTTTATAACTTTTCAAAATCAAAGCTCTTATTAACCTTTAGCTGTTTACGCCATGAAAAAATTAAATCCTTAAACTTGTATTTGAAACTTCTTTCACTAAGGATTGAAGGAAGCCCATCTGGTATTTTCAGATTTGTTGATCCAAAGATTCTTAATATCTGAAAAGCAGTTAAAAAGCCATTTCCAAAACTGATTTAAAAAGGAAATGTACAAATCCAGGGTTCTATTGAAGTCACCAACTGGTTTGAGCAAGATGATAATTCCCTTCTCTCCCAGAGTTCCAAACCTGCCAGAGACTGCTGTCTTGTGGTCTGCTCACCAGGAACCACTGTATGGAATATTCTCAGGTCATTTCCTTGTCTGGAGAGGAATTATGAAGAGCTGGTCTACTCACGGCTCTTCATTCTGCTGTGGTCGTTGGCTCTACTTTTAATGAACCATATTCAGTTTGCATTTTCTTTCCCATATGTTGCTACTATGGATTTTCAACAGGAATTCTTTTCAGGCAACTACTGGGTTAGGGGAAGGAACTTCTCCTTTTCCAAAGGAATTAAAAGAAACTTCACAACTAGATAATGCATTATAGAACTATTCTTAATATACATATTTGGACTTTCTCAGTAGCCTAGATTGGGCCTCCTATTTTATTGGCACCAAGTCTTATAATGTTTATAATTTGTTTAACTGAAACAGAGCAGTCCAATTATTGAAAGTGTACATTGCAACTCTCTACTGATGAAAGGGAAGACAGCTGTTCTGAATATAAAAGCTCCCACCATATGTGTTACTAATTGTAGCTCTAATACATCTCTTCTCATAAATGAATTCCTTTTCACATGTTGGAACACCTCCTTAATGACTAGGTAGCATACAAGGTCTCTACAAGAATTTTAACCTTGCATTCATTCCAAAAGCCAAATATTTCCCTTAAAAGTGTCATCCAGACCTGAACTGTGAAACATTTTTGCAAATGATTGAGTCAAGTGTTCAATCTTCATCCTTTAATGATTTCTCAGATAATTTCACAGGTCATTGAGAATTATTCCTGCACCAGCCCCCTCCCTTCCAAATCTACCACTACATATTCTGGCAAACATGCTGTGCATCCCTGAAAATACAAACTATATATAAACACACCCATTTTTTTTACCTGTAAGACAGTAGAAAACATCCCAAAATAATTTCTTGATATTATCCCAAGATTCTTCTCTTTGAGAAATAAAACTCAGAACACTACATATGAAATGTTAACATAATTTAGTGAACTCTGTTAGCTTACACAATCACATTACAAAATTTATCTCATTATACATTATCAGAAAATCCACAGTCTTACCAACTATTCTCATGTTTATTTGATTTTTATACTGAAATTTAATGGGGGGAAAACAATGAATTATTCAGTACTGATATTGATAGAAGCCAGATTCAGATTGGCCCAGGGTCATTCACTGGATACAACCCAGTGAAAGTATAAAGTCCACAATGCAGCATGTTAGAAATAATCCCAGCATCACTAACTTAGTTCTTCATGATTGCTAGAGCAAAAGTAGACCATATATTAATACCGGTATGTGCCTATTTAGCGTGGCAAATAAAATTTGTACTAATGCATGTGTAATAAAGTAGATAACCAAAAACAAGTCCTGTAATCATCTACCCATATGAGAAATCTACACATACAACCAAATACCACATCTGAAGTCAAGTAAGGCCCTAAAGCTTACTATAAAAAGTGAGCATATAAAGTTACCTTGCCATTTTTGTCTTTCACCCAATGGCCCCCAAAGCCATTGCTATGAGATTTATTTATTTATACCCATGCTTTGTCCTCAAAGAAGCATCAAGGTGTTTAAGAGTTTTGCTTTTTTAAAAAGAGCACAATAAAAATTTAAAAACTGAATAATATTGATACTAAAATCAGAGCTATTATATCTGGGTTGCAAAACTCCAGATAATCACTTGTACTGGCCACGTAGATATTTGTAGCTCAAATCCAATAGTTGTTCATTCATTCAGTGCTTCTGACTGAGCTGATGAATGTACTAAAAACAATATAACGACTGATTGTTTAATTAAAGAGCTACAACTTTACAGCTATTTAAAACTTGAGAGTTCTGGAGCCAAACCCAACTTTCAAGAAAGCATATTCCATAGTTTGTGAGCAACACAGGTATAGCCTCTCTCCTATGCACAGGATGACAAGCTTCAGACAGTGGGGTATCTTCAAAATAGTCTCCCACCATATCTTAAGGTCAGTATTTATGAGAGAGGCAGTTCCTTGGACAGTCAGATTGCAAATCTTTTAGGGATTTAATGACCAACCCCAACACTAGACTGTGTACAATAAGTAATTTTCCCAGAATGTTACTGACCAGATATAATATGTGGATGCTTAAAGTTCTTCATCCATACCTAACTTATTCAAGAATGTGAAATGATCCCTATTCTCTCTTGATTAGCCTGTCTTACCAGTTACTAAACAAATCATGTACAGTAATTACAGCAGGTAGGGAGTAAACCTCCTTCCAATCTTTCTCATCTCTGTCATGTCCATACCCAACCCAGTTCAGTTCTTTTGCAAACTATTAATAGAAGATGAGCAGAATTCTTCACGAGAATAAGCTCATACAGACTGATGCCTCTATATAAACCCGATGAACTACAGTACTTCAAATGAGAACATGGCTCTGAGAGATTTGGAAATATCCCAAACTTAATGCAGTTTTTCTCAACCTGGCATCCTCCATGTGTGTTGGAACTACAATGTGTCTCCCAAAATTCCTTGACAATGTTAACTGGAATTATCATAATGCCAATACATCTGAAAAGTTCCAAATTGTGGAAAGTGATATAAAATATCTCACTGACTACAGCATTTTGTTTCCTTTTTTTACACAAACTGAAAGGGGAAAAAATCTTATGGATGCATACCCAAGACAGAGGCTGTGGAGTTGGCTCTATCATGAGGTCCTTAGAGGATGCTAAATGTAATGTTAACGCATTTCTTCCAGCTGCCACTTTTTTCCCAAAGCATACATGGCCCTATTTTTATATCTTCTAAAAAAATAAAATTTATAAATATAATCTATATATAGTTGCAGCAACTCAAAAGATGATATTGCCATTCTTGAGCAAGACGAGACGAAATTACAAGTGACAACTGCCTTAGATGAAGAAGCAACCAGAATTGGCCTCGGGATAAGTGCCGAGAAATCGAAAATCATGCATGGAAGCTCCACTGCACAGACAACGAGGAATCACACTTGGATCACAGTAACTTCAGGATGTAGAAAGTTCACCTATTTGGATACTGTAATAGCATAAAATGGAGATGCAAAGACAGACTTCAAGTGCCGCATTGGAAAAGGAACAGGTGTTTTCCAGAGAATGAATAAAATCTGGTCCTCATCATCTTTATTGCTGAAACTCAAATTCCATTTGCTCTCTTCTATAGTGATCCTGACAGCCATTTATGTCAGTGGGATCTGGAAGGCATCAGCGAATATTAATAAGATTCACTATATTGAGCACTCTATTAACAGAGAAGTGCTCCAAAACAGTTTCTCCTGCAAATTACATAACTTTGTTGCACACAGAAGACTCTAATGTGCTGTAGGAGATGACTAGGCTGAGCCTTTGGGAGAGGTCAAAAGCATCATAGGTCATGAATCCCTGCGTGCCTGCAAGAGATCTAAATCCAGCCCACCTTGAATGCTTTTCCTATCACCTCATTTCCCTTGACTGTTGGTCAGATTCTTGTAGAGAGCTTAAGCTTGCAATAAATCTTTATACTCATTTGAATTGCCTGAATCTTCTGATTTTCCCAGTGCTTGACACTTGCAGGTCATATACTCCGTATGGAGAACAATCGAATTCCCAAGATGGCAATGAGTTGAAATCCTCCCCCCCCCGTATCAAATGATCAAGAGGACACCCTTGAAATACATGGCGAAGAATGTTCATTGATGACTTAAAGATTTCAAACATCACATGGGAAGATACTGAAGTACTCATCCAAAATTGAAAATACTGAAAATCTCTTGCTGCCCAATATGCTGCATAGCATGGGAGGATCTAATGCTAATACTAAACTCAAAGACCATAGAAAAATACAATCAATTATATAGAATAAGGTAGATGTTGTTACAACGTAATTGGACTAATTAACGATCCCTTACTAGTAGAGCTATGTTTGTGGGCAACTACAGTTCTACTAAGAATGAGGAGAGAATCAGGCAGAAAAGGCTAGTTTACAATTTAAATGTTATTGACCAGAGAAACAACCTCAGACAGTTAAATATTACCAAAAGCTGTTCCCTCCGAACTCAGATAAAATCAAGTGTTTAATCTTATGAGGAATGGAGAACTATTGACTAAAATTAGACTCTGATTATACAAAGTCCCATCAAACATCTCTGTTTATATCGTTCCACCCTAAAAAGAGTAAGGGCACTTTCAAGTTGGGCTTTATTTTTGGAGACTTAATGGCTACATTCATGTAGTTTTCTTGGGAATCTACAGAAATGGTTTGCCATTGTGTCTCCTTCCAGAATATTTCAACTTCCCAGTCTAGATCTGGGATTTCTTAATCGACCAACTGAACCTAACTGGCCTTGGTCCCACTTAACTTTTTGAAATCAGACGAGGCAATAGAAGTGTGGCACACTGGACAGAGCAGCTTTTTATAGCTATTTAATTATCCAGCCAATGTAGAGATATCTTCAGAAGTCCTCCACGTTAGTCTACGATGGCAAAAATATCAGGAGTCTAATAATACCTTTTACAACAGAAAAATCTTTTCCAAAGATTTTATTTTTTACATTTATGCTGCTGTATAAATCTATATGTTTTTAATAATATGTTAATTGGAAAAGATGTCACCAGATTTCTGATTTTTAGAAATCCCCTTAAATTTGATAAATTTGTTGGCCACAAATAGGTCTAGGATTAAACACACAAGGTATATTATTTCAATTTAGCATCCGCTAAAACTCTGAAATGTGACATATACTATTTTTAAGCATTCTATTACAAGTTAAATGTTCATCAGATCCCAGGAGTGCCCCCAAAAGGGCCACTAAGACAGTTTTCCTGAAAAGTGCAGTTTTCCTTTGATCTGGGTTTAACTTTCCGACGTTTGCCACGTTGACAACCAAAATCCAGCTTTTGGCTCTTCCTAGTCCCTATTTCCTTCCATGCCCACCCAACCCCCCAAAGAATGGAGAATTGAGTTTTATTGAGGCTTCGTTTTTTTTTTCACTTCGGCTCTCTCTGCATTTTTCATCCAACCCAGTAGATTCACGAAAATGCTGTTGGGAGAACGGTGTGAAAATCGAAAGGCCGCTGCCTTTGTTGGTAGAAATTCTAGCCTACTGAACAACACCAAACAGCAAGTTGAAATTAGACAGAGATTTATTGGATACAACGGTTTGCAAAGCGTGGTGGACTCCAAATAAATATTTGAGCCACACCTTTTCACAGTAAAAGCACACATTTTATACATTCTATCCCCGACGCCTTGGCCCCTCCTCTGAGGTTACAATCTTATCAGGATCGCCTAAACAAAATACATTATCCCTGCCCCTTACTATTTTGCTTCACCTATTCCCTTATATGTACTTTATCATGAAATCCTATAGCTCAGTGTGGAAATCCTATAGCCTACGTGCAAAACTCTTTACAAGGTACGTGTACGTGTAGAAATTGTGTAGAAATCTTGCTGTCTCCGTGTAGAAATTTTGTGTAGAAATCTTACTGTCTGCGTGTAGAAATTTTACAGAGCACGTGTCACTTAACTTTACTTTTTTATTCTAAAATTTTATTCCTAACACCTTCTGGGAGACCCAAACGGGCAACCAACAGGGAGCCCTGAAAGAAGCCAGCCACTCAACACCAGCAACGGAGCGCAGCTGCGTCTCGCGCTTCCATACAAGTGTAGGCAGATCCGAACTTGGCACAGAGTTGATCCGCGAGCTGATTCCGACGCGGGAAGGAAGAGAGACGACCTCCGGCCGCTTGCGTTTGGCGGGAACTTTGTCTCGACTTTGCCCCATTACGAATTACCCTATGGCCGCCCGCGAATGGATGAATTCATAGCGGTTACCCAATGGCGAGGAGAAGGCTGCTTCCCCGCTTTCGCTTCCGACTCAATAGCGCGCAAGGGGAGGCGCGAGGAGGCGGCGGCGCCGTCCAATGCGCTGCAAGGAGGAAAGCGCTCGTTCGGGGGGGTCTCCTATATAAAGGCTGCCCAGAGAGCGGAGCAGCTGTTTTCGCGGTGCTGCTCAGACCCGTAGCGCGTCTGTCGTCGCCAGAGCACCGAATAGCTTCGGAGAGCCGTAACCTGCCGGAGAAAAATGGTAAGAGCCCAAATGGCTTTTGCTGCGCGGGAGAGTTTCCTGCGTTTTCCAGGGATGGGGGTTAGTTAAGCGTCCGCACGGCCGCAGGTGGGGCGTTACGTAATTGGCAAAGGCCCCTTGACCAAAAGTTTTTCTTTTCTTTTTAAAACGGACTTACTCCACTTTCTAGGCCAGGGGTTCTCAACCTTGGCAACTTTTAAGACTTGTGGACTTCAACTCCCAGAATTCCTCAGCCAGCAAAGTCCAGCAAAGCTGGCTGAGGAATTCTGGGAGTTGAAGTCCACAAGTCTTAAAAGTTGCCAAGGTTGAGAACCCCCGTTCTAGGCCTTGTAATTCGCGCGTCCAGATCGCTGGCGAGAACAGGCACGTCCTGAACTTTGGGGGGGGGGGGCTGTTGACAGCTTGGACAACCTTTGCTTCGAAGAAGGGGGCTGGGGCTGGGTAGCGAAGAGGCCCTAATGAAGGAAAAGGCTGGGCAGAGTTGGCTTTCCGGAAGCAGAGACCGTCTACCTGTGAGCCTTTCCCCAAACATGGTGCCTTTCCCCCCCCCCCAACGCCCAAGAAGCGCACTCGTCTTCCGCTAAGGCTCCTTTCCCGATATCGGTGCCCCAGGTTTTCGGAGGGAAGGCAGCGAACAACTGTAGCGCCGCCGCCGCCGCCACTTCAGAGTGCGGTGTTTGTCGTAGGGTCGAGTTACGTTTTGCTGCAGGGGTTCTCAACCTTGGCAACTTTTAAGACTTGTGGACTTCAACTCCCAGAATTCCTCAGCCAGCTTTGCTGGCTTTGCTGGCTGAGGAATTCTGGGAGTTGAAGTCCACAAGTCTTAAAGTTGCCAAGGTTGAGAACCCCTGTTTTACTGGGAGTCTCCTCTTATGAGGCTCTTATATTAAGCTTTTGAAATATATGTGTTCAAGGACTGCGTGTATGTTCAGAAATCGAGAGGAATTAAGAATTGGGGAAGCTGAGAACCCGGGCATACTTAATTACAGCTGCTCTCCCCAAGAAAAACTTCTCTTTGTTTGAGAAAAAAAAGAGGGCGGAAAGGGATGCGAAAGAAACTTTGATTCGCCACCCTCTTACCGGGCTCTGTTTTAAGTTCCGCGAGTTTTAATGACTGTTCCCAGCCGGTATTTTTCTGTAGGAGGCCTTTCTCTGTGAACTTGTAACTGATCGAAACATTTCTGGCCGTTTTGAGTTTTGTCCTTCAACTTTGTCCAACGCAACTTTGTGCATTGACATAAAATGGTGGAAAAGTTCTAAATAAGATGGCTGCCTTCATTTTTTTTTCTCTCCTGATATTTCAACACTCGATGACAAAATCTCATAAAACTGTTTTTTCACAATGCAATTTGACTCACAGTTCGTACTGCTTATGGAATTGATCCTTTTATTTTAATTGTTTTGTTTCTCCCTGAATTGTAGATCAGATTTTTAATTCTTAAAAGTATTCCAAGATTTTTCTGTTAGATTGTAACCATTATTTTTGTTACATTGCTTTCATCAAATATAATTTCGTATTGCAGTCTAGTGAAAAAGTAAGACAAATCCTAACTTAGAATCCTAAGCCTAATAAACTAAAATCAAAATTCTTCTCTAACAGACATTTCTGAACATACTGGTAGTTAAAATGGATTTATATCTACAAGTATTTAAGCTCTTGCCTTTAATGACAATTACGCAAAACATGAATTGATGACTAAAGAAGGGTCCTATGCACAGCCACAAATTATTCCAGTTTTATAGTCCTCTAGACATTGAAGCAGTCAAGAACCGATGACCAGGAGATGTACTGCTAGATAGATGGATGCAACTTTCATTGCTCTATTCCACTTTTTGGATGATGGGCACCCTTGGAATTTTGAAAACCCTTAGCCAAACAACTGTCAATATTAGAGAGGAGCTATTTTTTTTTACCAAATGTTTGGCCTCAACAATTGCACCCATTTAGCAGAAAATCAAATGAATAACACTGCCTCTACAGGATTCAAGCGATCTGCTTTCTTTTTCCTGTGCAAACATTGTATGCCTATAAGAAGGTGGGTGGACATGGTAAGCATAAAGAAGTATCAGTTCAAGGCCTCTAAACATAGTGGAAATAGTTTTTCCCCATGACTTGAGGGAGTAAATGGCTTCACCTTTTTTATCTTTACAAAGTATATTTTTTCTTTCACCAAAGGCCCTGGATGTAGCAAATGATGAAAAGAACATAGGTTGTCCTGTCTGACACACAGATAAAGGGGGTGAAATTTGCAGCACATTGCTGCTATCATCATTTTTGCTGAAAACTTAGGATCCTGCAGATGCTTCTTACCTGGCCAGATTATTTATGATGCCCAGGTTGTAAAGTCTACCTATACTTGCAGGTAGACCTTGTGTAATTTAAATTTATGATGGACCTCATCAGAGCTACTTAGAACCCATTTTCAAAATTCTGATGGCTGTCCCTCAAAAAAGCACAAAACTGATCACATTTTGGGTCTCTGCAACTGACTCGCATTTATGACCATCTGCAGCATCCCTTGGTCACATGATTTTTGTAGGGTTTTTTTCTGGTTTCTGGCATTTATTTTTGGTTTCTGGCAGAAAACACTCATTGGTAAAAACTTTCACTTAATGACCCTAGTGTTCACTTAACAAACAATGCAGACAAGATTGTAAAATCGGTCACATGGTGACCAGCTTTATGACTACCACAAGTTACAATTGCAATTCCAGCCTCAATTAAGGTAATAAGTCAAGGACTACCTGTATTATAGCTTTTTCCACCCTGAAGCTTTAACAAGGCTGACCAAAATTCTGGGACGTTAATTCCTGTATTTATAACCAACTGTTTCAAAACAATTAAGGCCTATTTTATAAAATGAAAGTTAATGTTTCTATAGAATATGAAGTAAATAGTGGAGTCTTATTCTAGCATTGGTGTAAAGTTTCAAGAAATTGATAACTCCTTAAAAGATGGCTATCCCTTAAATTCAAGAGAAGCTGACAGCCACCTATTTTCCCTTTAGTGAATTAGCTGGCACTTTGCCTTTTAGTTTATGGTAAAGAAGGAGGAAACCTTATTAATTTCCTGTCTGTCTCTCTCCATAGCGTGAATGCATCTCAATCCATGTTGGCCAAGCCGGTGTGCAAATTGGCAATGCATGTTGGGAGTTGTACTGCTTGGAACATGGCATTCAACCTAATGGCACAATGCCAAGCGACAAAACAATTGGTGGTGGAGATGACTCATTCAACACCTTCTTCAGTGAGACCGGGGCAGGAAAGCATGTTCCTCGTGCTGTGTTTGTGGATTTGGAACCAGCAGTCATAGGTAAATATATGGCTTACATGGTTGCAGTAAAAGGGAGAAATGTGGAAGTGGTTTAACAGAGGTTTAAGATGTAAAAACCTCCTGTTTTATATGTTGCCTTCTGGACTTTATAAAGGAAATTTATAGAAGCGTGTTACCCCTATTGTATAGTTGGATCAAAGCACAGTATTTATTTCCAAATGTATAACTAATCTGCTTTATTTTATCTAGCCTTTGATACTTCATAACTCTTGAATAATCAGATAGTGTTTCTCTTTGCCCTCTGCTACTGTGTATTCTCATGATTAGTTTGTAACTTTTGGAGTACTTGGCACAATGAATCATATTCCTGTTAAGTGTCCAGTTAAGATATAGGTTAAAATTTGCAACTAGGAAATAAGAATATATGCTCTTTCAATAAGCTTATATCCTGCTATTTCCCAGAGAGGAAATCCCAAGTAGCAAGCAAAATCAATCTTATTCAAGAGAGTCTTAAAATTAAATGATAATTTTTTAAAGTTTAATCTTTCACAATAAAAATTTGTAAAACTAAATTCATTTTTTAAAAAATGAGTACACTAAATATTTGTGATTTAAAATACATCTATGGTTTTGAAACTAGAAGCCAATATTTCTATGAAGGGAAAAATAAAAATATAAATGGCTGAAATATATAATCTGTATTTCCTTATCAAACCTAAAACATGTACTGATTTGTGAATATAAAAGGGATTATTTACAGAAGACTGGGAATTGCTTGGAAGGGAAATTAAAACCATTTTAAAGAGTTTTCTGGGTCTTCAAACCTCTGCAGGATATCATTTCTAATACCTTATATTTATAATTTTAGGTATTATCTTAGGTATTAATGAGAGGTTATAGTTTAAACAGTCATACTCTGAACCAGTGAAGGAAGTAGAATATGAACAATAAATTATTTTCTAGATTTTCACTGTAGAATAACTTATGTATTCTATTGCAGATGAAGTACGGAGTGGGATATATAAGCAACTCTTCCATCCTGAACAGTTGATTTCTGGCAAGGAAGATGCTGCTAATAATTATGCAAGAGGTCACTATACTGTGGGAAAAGAAATAATCGACCTTGTATTGGAGCGGATTAGGAAGCTGGTATGTCCTAATGTTTTTACCCTGTCAAACATACAATGAGATTTAGCTTGAGGATAGATCAGATTTAAAGCACAAATTGTAAGTGCTATAGGACAGGGAGTTTCTGCCCACTTGCAATAATAGTTGCACCTACATGGCTAGGCAAGCAGTCCCAATCTCCTCCCTTCCTATCCATAGGAAAGGCTGGGCTTCTGGACACAATTGTTGTCATATCAATATAACCCTGATCGTGCAACAAACTGGCAATGACAATCAAGGACAACTTGCTAAGTGAAGACGAGGCAATGACCACTGGGCCTATTTGTGGGGTGTGTTTGGGGGGCACCGTTATCCAGCCAACAGGCAGAGCAGCCAGGTGGAACAACTAAGCTCGGAGAGCAAGGACACCCCAGTTTCTTCCTTTTTGTGATTTGGGCTACTCGTGAGCAACACTTCCTACTGTGGTCATATTCTTTCAATGCAAATCAGTTAGAGCAATCCTAGAGCCAAAAGTTGGAACCCCTCATTTTTCTGTTCTGTTCATTTTTTCTTTTTGACTTTTCCTTCATTCTTCTTTTCTGACATACAGTATCTTCCTCTTCCTGGGGACAAGAGTCAAACCAGTGTTCGCAGAAGTCTAAACTGAGAGCACTTTTGAGATTAATCCGAGGGCTATAAGGCTGCAGACTGTCCACTTAGAACAGGGTGTCTAGGAAAAAATGTTACATATTTCTTATGTAGAAAGATCTTACTGAGAATCAATGCTGGACACAAACTTCCTGTCTTTTCTTTTCTGACTTTCTTTACAGATCAGAATAATAACTGGAAATTCTTAATACATTATGGAATATAAGAAAGAAGGGCAAACATATAAGACATAAATCTTGATTGTACTGTTGGAATGTAACGTGCATATTTTTCTTTCAGGCAGACCAGTGCACCGGTTTGCAAGGATTCCTGATCTTCCACAGTTTTGGAGGAGGCACCGGTTCAGGTTTTACTTCTCTGTTGATGGAACGCCTTTCAGTTGACTATGGAAAGAAATCAAAACTCGAATTTGCCATATATCCAGCTCCTCAAGTTTCAACTGCTGTTGTTGAGCCATATAACTCCATATTAACTACGCACACTACTCTTGAACATTCTGATTGTGCCTTCATGGTTGACAATGAAGCCATCTATGATATTTGCCGAAGGAATCTAGACATTGAACGCCCAACATACACCAATCTCAACCGTCTCATTGGTCAGATCGTATCATCTATCACTGCCTCTCTCAGATTTGATGGTGCCTTAAATGTGGATCTGACAGAGTTCCAGACAAACCTAGTGCCTTATCCCAGAATTCATTTTCCCCTGGTCACATATTCCCCTATTATTTCAGCAGAGAAAGCCTATCACGAGCAACTCTCTGTCTCTGAGATCACCAATGCTTGTTTTGAGCCATCCAATCAGATGGTGAAGTGTGATCCTCGCCATGGCAAGTATATGGCCTGTTGTATGTTGTACCGTGGAGATGTTGTCCCCAAGGATGTCAATGCTGCTATTGCTGCCATCAAAACAAAGCGTACCATTCAATTTGTTGATTGGTGTCCTACTGGCTTTAAGGTAAGTATTGCTGATATGTATTGCAAATGGCATCTTGTCTAAATGTGTAGATTTCTGAATAAATGTAGTAGAAACATGCAACTGTAAAATGGTATAAACAGCAACATGATTTACAATGCAGTTATTTAAGGGCATATAGTAGCTGAAGAGTTTTGCTCATAGCTCTGATAGGTAAGATGCTATATATCTGTTACTGGTGAAACTGCATGCAGGATTATGCAAATTGAACTCCATTTCTTTAACAGCAGAATTGCTTTTGGAGATAATGTTCAGATATTTTCTGACAAATGCAAATAATTAGACTTTTGCTTTATTTCATTTTTTCTATTAAAAAGGCAATAATTTAAAAATTATAAAGATCCAGTTTGGCGGTGCTTAAGCACAGAAGATAGGATTTCTATTCTCTATGTAAATGCAGCACATTCTGATGTGCAGATATAGAAATGTTACATACTACTTTGATGTAGGAAAGCCTGACAATGTTTATTTCTTTAACTTTCTAGGTGGGTATTAATTATCAGCCTCCAACAGCAGTTCCTGGTGGTGACTTGGCCAAAGTCCAACGTGCAGTCTGTATGCTCAGCAATACCACAGCCATCGCCGAAGCTTGGGCCCGTCTGGATCACAAGTTTGACTTGATGTACGCCAAGCGTGCTTTTGTCCACTGGTATGTAGGAGAAGGAATGGAGGAAGGAGAATTTTCCGAGGCCCGAGAAGATTTGGCTGCACTTGAAAAGGATTATGAAGAAGTCGGCACTGACTCCTTGGATGGTGAAGATGAAGGCGAAGAGTATTAAAACTCATTAAATATTGTGAGGCTGTAACCATTTGCTATTTTGCCTGTATTACCAAGAAAATGCATTTTACATCTCAAATGTAAACATTTAGCATTCCGTGATAAAGTGCTTGGAATAAATTCTTATAACCAAAGAAATGTTATCAGTTGTTGATGCAAGCACTAAAACTTTTTGCTGGGATACAAGTAAAATGATCTTGCATATCAACATGGAGTAGTCTCATTATAGCATGTTCTTAAACACAGACATTTTCACTCCGTATTTGCATACAGTAAAATTTTATTTTTTACTGAAAAATCTCTTTTTACTATTTTAAATATTGCTTGCATACAAAAGCATATTCTTAAAAGAATGTCATAAGTATCCTTTATACATAATTACTCACACCAAAAGTTACATAATTCAAACTTATATTTTACAGACTTTATCTAATCCAAAAATGCACAATACTTTTTCCCCATATATCAATAGCCTGCTACAGAGCCTGACATATAAGCTCCACTTCACATATCTTATGTCCCATTCAATTTCATGCCATTCTCTAAAAAGAGAATTTGGGGATAGTTGCAGCCTTTAAACCATAGATTATGCATTTCTTTTTTAATTAAGAGGCTTAATAAGGTGGAATGATAGAAAAATTAATCATAGTGATGACACCAACCATCTCCTGGGATGAGCCCACTTAGAGTTCTTGTTCCGGCATTTGAAAATATAAAGTGTGAAACAAAGCCTGGGAATATCAATCGATGCTTCTCTGAACTGCAGAAATGGAAGAGAAAGAAGTAATTGAGTAAATGTTTTGTATGTTTTCCATTTGTTGTAAGAACAAAACTAGTTTTCAGTCTTTCAGACTGAATATTAAATGGTAAGGACAGAAATTATAGTTCATAGCATTCTATTCCTGCCTGTTACATGTCTATTAAATAGTGCACATCTGTAATCCCAAACTAGGACTTTTTTCCTCTTTTAACATTCATCTGAAGCTGCTGGATGTGAGGACACCTAATTTAAGTTAATATGCAGATGACACCCAGTTACATAAATCCACCTTCACAGCCAGGTAGAGATGCAGTGAAGTGTCCTAAATCACTGCCTAAAGCCTATTAGGAACCAGATAGGGGGAAAGCAGCCAGTTTGTGGGAAGGCTGCTCTTGGGGATAAACACTGGAACACCCAACGGTAACAAAAATTCAATTTTTATATAAATTATACAAAGCATACAACTTGCATCTATGTTTTCCTTGAATAACTTCTTTAGCTAATAAGACAGAATCTGATCATTAGAAGGTTTGCTGGATGTTCATGATGCTAGCGAATGTTTGCTCAGTCAGATACTGCCAGTTTAGGCAGATAGGAAATTTGGAGAGCTTTCAAATGGATCCTCTCAGCAAATGGTTGCTGGGAGAAGTATCTACCATGTCTGCCATAAAGCACAAGGTCAGCTATGCTATCAGTTACATGAGGCAAATAGGTGACAGGTACCCTGCCAACTTCTAAGCCCCAGAGTAGGTTCTATCAGCCTAGGTTACATTATCTATTCATATCATTTCCATACTACTACATTACCAATAGGTCCTAAAAGGGATCCAACCAAAGGGTAATTTAATGGATTGAGGATTCTGTAACAGATCACTTTTTTAATGTTTTAAAATGTAGCAGATATCCAGGATATTGGGATCTGAATTCAAATAATTTAAAATGAATCTGATTTTCCCCGTACTCATTTAACATCCTCTTTATTAACCTGGTCACAGAAGCCAGCTGTACTGGTTGGTCTTGACTTTTTCTCAAAAAAAAACTGAACAGAGGTTACGGTAGTACTGGGACAGGAACTCACCAAGAAATCTCAACTGTAAGACATGCTAGAACAGTGATGGCGAACCTTTTAGAGACCGAGTACCCAAACTGCAACCCAAAACCCACTTATGCATCGTCGGGTGCCGGGTGGGTGTGGCCCATTGGCTGGGTGTGGCTGCGGTGGTAACGGCAGACTGGGTGGGACTAAAAAGTTCAATCAATCAATTCCAACTTTGCAAGATCTTTTTTTTTCCCCGCGAGAAGTTGAGATTGATTGAACCTTTTTTTTTTTTGCACACAGCAGCAGAGGCCTAAAGCGAAAAGGTTTTATAAAACCCAGCTGAAGGCCTAGGACTGGGGCGACGGCGTGCATGCCCACAGAGAGGGCTCTGAGTGCCGCCTCTGGCACCCGTGCCATAGGTTCGCCACCACTGTGCTAGAAGCTTTAAAAAAGTTTTTCACATGACCATTGCAGCAGCCCCATGGTCACATAATTAAAATTTGGACAATTGACAACTGGTTCATATTTATGACAGTTGTAGTGTCTAGGGTTCATATGATCACCTTTTGCAACCCGACTAGCAAAATGCATGGGGAAGCCAAATCTTGCTTAGCCACAGAAATTTTGGGCTCAGTTGCTACCTGTAGCAAAAACTTTATTCTTGTAAAGAAAATAAATATTGGTTAATTTAGTCACCAGGACTTATTATGCTCAATCTTTGGAAGACTTCAAGAATAAAAGTCTTGCCCACATTATGAAACATATTTTGTGAAAGAGACAAATTTACAATGGGTGAAAATATTTTTTTAATTTTGCATTTAATGGCATTTATATTACCCTCATCTTAATGGATTTACAGTAATGTGCTTATTGTGGCATGTTAACTGTACTTAACTATGAAATCTTGTCTTTAGACATTATAACAAATTCTCACTCCTCCACCCACATTTAAATAGTGTCCTGCAAAAACCTGTTAAACCTGATTATTACTCTTTTAATATGTGCTATTTTCATGCTGTTCTCGGTCTAATTTCCTGCTGAGGTCTGATGAATGTCAACTGTAAATGAGTATATTTTGCAAAGGGATGCTTAAATGGGATTAGCCCTCTGGGTTTAAATTGTGCACTGTTTTTTAAGGATGGCTCTTCCTTTGAAGTGCAGATGGGGGAAGGGAAGTCTGTCTGTAAAAAAGAATCTGGTTAGACAAACTGCAAGTTCCTGTCACTGGTAGCTATTTCAGGTTATGTCTAGTGCCTAGTGAATCTGACCCTTATTGTTTTATTGAGCTAGTCTTGCCATTTTTAAAAAATAGCATAGATTAAGTAATAAACAGGAATAGCGATAACCCAAATTTAATTTTATTTTTGCATTCAGGAAAATATTTGTGGTTGGTACAGGTTTGTCCTACATTTCACCTAGCAGTGATTGATAGTGTGTGGGGGGAAATGCCGTCTGCATTATCAATTTTCTTTGTCATTGCCCAGAGCATAGAAAGCTTTTTTAAATATGTCACTTTCCAGTCACAAGTTGTTCTTGGCAAAAAAAAACCAACTAACACACTTATAATGCTTCTGAAAATAGGTCAAGTTCTTATTTACAAAGTTTTCAGTAGAAGCACTGAACAGAATGGATTCAATGGAACAGTTGCCTCCAGTCTGGTTCTTCATTATGTGTTGGAGTTCTATTTCCCCATGTTCGGTCAGCGTGGCCTTTGGCTAGGCCAGGGGTAGGCTGACTTGGAGTGATGATCTAAATTAATGTTTTTCAACTTCAACCACGTTAAGATGTGGCTGGGGAGTTCTGGGAGTTGAAGTCCACACATCTTAAAGTTGTTGGGTTTGTTTGTTAAGTTTGTATGTTGCCCATCTCACTATCAAGCAGCTTGAACTAAATCAGGGCTTTTCAACCAGTGGTACGGGTACCACCTGTGGTACATTGGCACCTGGAAGGTGGTACGCGACCATCCTAGAAAAGTGGTAGCGGGGGAGGGGAATGAGCTGAACCGGTGGCAGCACCGCACAAGCCTGAGCAAGAGATGGCTGGAACTGCAGGGCTGTCAGGGCTCAGCGGAAGCGCCAGGATCAGCACTTCTTTGGGGCTGTCAGGGCTCAGTAGAAGCACCAGGATCAGCGCCAGTCTCCAGCTGGAGCTTGGTGCTGATCCTGGCGCTTCTGCTAAGCCCAGAAGAAGTGCCGATCAGCTGGAATGTTGCAGCCTCTCCAGGGTCTTGTGATTTACATTCAGATGCTTGGCAACTGATTCATATTTATGACGGTCACAGTGTCCCAGGGTCATGTGAAGTGACCAAAACCTGCTGCAACCACCCAGCAGACAGGGGGAATAAAAACCAAACACCCCACACCCCATCCCACTGCCAATCACAACAATGAAAACTTCGGACAGGAGGAAGAGCGCCGTCGGGCAGGCAGGCAGGTGTCTTGCGTGACTGTGGCTCAGGGGGCACTTTTTTCAGTGTCATTGTAACTTCGAACAGTCACTAAGTGAACTGTTGTAAGTTGAGGACTACCTGTACTTTATCACTTTTTCCCTTTCTTTTGGTCATCAAGTTTTTGACACCTTGCTAGGTGACTGGTGGTACTCGGATACTGCCATATCCTAAAAGTGGTACAATGGGTGAAAAGGTTGAAAAGCCCTGAACTAAATCATCTGGAGGTACCAGGTTGAAGTATACTATAACATATATTTCACCTTCTCAGGGGAGGATAACACTGAGTACAATTCAGTGTTAGTATACTTATTCAGTGCTGGTTTGAGGAATGTTATAATTCCTGGATTTATATCATGCATTATTACAAACCAGAATGACTGGATTTTTACATCATGTTAAAATTAAAAAAACAACACACAGTTGTTTACTGATACATATGAATTCAGCTACGTAAAAAAAAAACCCTAGCAATTAACTTGTTTTCCCTATGGATTTTATTAGATAAATTCCAGACTTGACTAAGACTTGATTAAAGTCAATGAATTTTGCACCAATTCTTCTGCTACCTTTCCAAAATAAATGAACTGTATTTTCAGTATGTAACTTTATTTTAAATAAGTAGCAATGGAGAATACCTGCCAATGAAATTAAGATCCTGTCCTTGACATTTGTGGCAAGTCCATATTTATATCTTTGATTAAATATTTACCATTATACCAATTCTCTTGGAGCACACTGTCTTTTAAAACTGTTTATATTTTTACTTTTAAATACATACTATTAATTTTTAAAATATAATTTAATTACAATCCATGAAGCCACCCATTTTAAATATATGTTGCTCTGTTAAGTACTTAGATCAGAAGACATAAAAAAAATCTTCAAAT